AACTCAGATGAGCAGGTAGATGGCCAGATGTGGACAGTGTTTGGCGGCACAGCCAGGTCAAGCGCACCTTCAGAAAAGGGACAGTACTGAACATACCGAGTCCCGCTTGCACTGAGCCCGGATGTAAGCCCCTCCCTTGTACATCAGACTCAGTCCCATGGCTCAGAAGAGCTGTGCAGCCTCCAGCTCCTCTCAAGTGGGTAGGATGGGCACTGTGGGCTGGGGGATCAAGCCCAACCTCCTCCAGGGCTCCCCTCCAGCCCTGTGCAAACCCACATTCCTCAGGCGGTGTCCCACCCTGGTGTCTCCAGCACTGGTGGTTGAGGGACAAACAAATGTGAATATACCTGAAAACGCTTTGTAAACTGGAACACATAAAGTGGTGGGATCTTCATTAGGGGTAAAACCATATTTTAGTATTCACTTTAATTCTCCAAAGACAGCTAGAAATTTTCTTCCTTTAATAAAAAAATCCCACAAACACTTTGAAGTCCTAGAGAAAATCAGCAACAGAAGGAAGTGAATCCCCGCACGGGGGCGCTGGAGAGCCAGCATCATCAGGAAAGCTCCAGGTTTCACACCTGACATTGTCAGGAGCCCGCCTAAAAAATAAATTACAAAACGCTGATTGGGAAAGACACAGCTGAACTGGTTTTTTTTTTTTTTTCCCCTTTGGGGCAGCAGGGAACGGGTGACTACAAGTCAGTCCGTGAACTGGCTGCCTTGGGGGCATATTTAGGCATCAGTTCATTGATCTTCCGGATGTAGTCAGACTTCTCGGCACAGCCTTTGCACGTCTCCCCCCAGTCATCCAGGACCTTCTTCAGTTCTTTAACTCGGAGCTTCTTCAGGTCCACTGTGCTCAGATCGATCTGCTTGTCTGGAGGAGAGAGCAGGAGAGTAACCAGCTGGGTGGGGGTGGCCATGGACCCCCCAATAGTCCTGGGCTGGATCACCCTGCACAGCCAAACCGCCCCTTATACCCCTACACAAGCAGCCCTACTGCTAGGAGGGGGAGATGGTGCTCGACACATACAGGTATGTTGGTGTCCACTGTCCTCAAGAGGGGGAACGGGCCTCAGCCCCTTCACCAGAAAGGCGGGTCTCATGCTGGCAGTGTCTAACACAGATGTGCATTGCTGCCAGGGACGGGGCTGGAGGGCACATGGTCCTTATAGGAGGAATGTGGCTCCCACTCCCCCGAGTGCCTCTTAGTTATGGTGGAGGTCATGTCACTGTAGAATGACAGCTCCAGGGTGACAGAGCAGATAGATCCCTTAGCCCCAATTTCCTAGCACAGGCGCTGGTCGGGCCCTTGAGTCAGCTTATTCTCCAAGACTGCTTGTAGCCACAGAGACCTCAAGCCAACTGCACCTCTCCTAGGGTTTCTTAAGAGACTAGGCACCCTTGACACAAGTGGGCGAACATGTCACAATAAAACATTGGTGCCGTTGACATTTTATGGACGAGGACCACTCATGGCCCCGGCTTTTCCCCACCGGAGACCTACTCAGCAGGAGGGACGCCGCGGCACCCCTAACTCCTGGGCTCGCCTGTTTGGACACAGCACTTCTTTTCCTAATAACAGTCGCTGGCCTTCGAGCTTGCAGCCAGGACAAGCCTATTAAACCCAAGGGATGTCAGACCACATCCCTCCTCTGCCCCAAAACCAACATTCCCAACTTCACCCAGACTGACAGATCTTCACCGACCTGTAAGGCCCACCCGTCATGCCACTGGCTGCCTATTTCCTCTTCCATTAGCTGTCCCCTTGGCTAATGCCCCACCTCCTTCGAAGTGTGCTGAAATGTCACCTCCTCAGAGAGACCTATTCTGACCTCCATCCACCATGATGCCAGACCTGCACCCCCAACCTTTAGCACCACCTACCATAAACAGCTACTAACTCTCACCACAGGCTCTAGTTCATCACCCAGCTGGGAAGTGGACTCCACAGTGCCTGCGCGCAGCGTGCCGTGTTTGTGAAACGAGGCCTGGTCACACTCACCGTACTTCAGCTCACAGATCTGGCTGTCCTTCTTCTTGAGTTTCTCACAGATTTTCTCCACGGGGATGTGGTGGGCCATGGGCTTTGACACCTCATTGATGATCTTGGTGGCTGCATCATCTGTGGCCCCAATGTAGTAGCACTGCAGCAAGAAAGGACAATGGCCTTCAGGAAGTGCCACTTGAGAGCTGTCTCCTCCAAAACACACTGACATCTCCAAACACCTTTCTCTGCCAGGGCCTCCTTTTCCCAGGCCCCGTCCACACGGGCAGTCAGTGCAAACCCCAGGCTCTTAATGCATGCTCGGTCCCAGAGCTGACAGGCACAGGATGAGTTTAATAGTCACCAACAGTCAGAGAGAGACAGACAAACCAGGTGGCCAGGAGGTTCTAGCTACGAAGGCCACAGTCTCCCTCGGGCTCTTGTCCTGAGTTCGGCCCTGGCCTACCCTGTGCACACTTCGTTTTCCTCTGTCCTCACACATGCCAAGCTTGTTCTGGCCTCTGGGCACTCACACCGGCTGTGCCCCTGCTGGGGATGCTCTTCCCCCACAACGATGACCGTTCCCCAGAGAGTCTTGACGACGCTACCTGGCCTCTCTACCATACCATCCTGGTCCATTTGCTTCATGACACCCATTCCTCTGCATCATGCTTGTCTCATTGTCACGTCTCTCCCGACAGTCTCAGCGCCCAGCAGAGTAGGTGCTTAATCAATACCAACAGGATAAACAAATATCACAACTGCAGAGAAAGCACTTCAGTCCCGCATTAGTTCATGGCCAGAACTAACTCAGGCCTCCTGAATAGACAGGTGGGCAGGGCCTTTGTCCAGGCCTGTGAAGAGGGTTAAAGAAAGGCCAGGGCCAGCTGGGGAGGGTTACCGGCTACTCACCAACCGATTCTCTTTGCCTCTTGCTTCGCGGCAGAACTTTATAAGTTCTTTTTCAATAGAGGATGGTGAGAATGTGACATCTCTGTCTTTGAGATCCTGGTAAAATCTTCCCAGATAAGAAACACAAACTGGAAAAAATAAGAAAGGGAGATGCTCAGTAATCACTCAGTTGCACCCCATCGCACCAGGAGGCAGCAATTTTAATAGGAGACACGGAGAGGTGAGTTTCCCTATCACCGGTTTTTCTCAGGTGCCCACGGTTGGGCAGCCCAGCTCCTTGGTACACTCAGGGCATGCGGGGAACAACATCACCCAGTGCCCACAAAGGGGGCTCCTCCCTGCCTCTTCCATGAAGTTTAAACCGAGAACGAGCGTGTCCTTGAGATGGGCTTGTGACCTCATAAATGGGCAGACTGGAGGCCGAAGAGAAAAACGATCCAAATGCTGTTCATTTCCAAATACAACACCGAACCCCGAGGTGCGGCTTCGCAAGCTTACCAGACCCAACCCGGTGCCCACGGCCGCCCTCAGGACTCCCGAACGGGCGCACCTGAGCGCCTCTGCCCAGTGACGGGAAAGGACAAAAACTACGGCGTTATCACAATTTCAGGCCAAGTTTTCAGCACGACCTAGTCCCAACTTTTTCTCGTCGGACCCATGTTTCCTAGGCCCAGGAAATGTTTTCTAGGCCCGGCGTCTGCCTCTCCTCCGTCGGACCCCGCGGGGACCGGCCGCTGCCGCTCGCCGGAGCCCCCGCCCATTCCAGCCCCGGCCCGTCGGGGGTTTGGTTGCGTTCAGCGCCGCACCTTCGCAGTCGCCCGGCCGCAGCGCCCGGCTGCTCGGCAGCACGCTCAGAGCCAGCGCCACCGCCAGCCCGTGCGTGGCCCACATCCTCCTCCTCCTCCACCGCCGCCGCCGCCGCCGCCGCCCGACTGAATAGCGCCCGCCGCGCTGCGCTGCCTCCAGGTCCCGGCCGTGCTCCGTAGCTCCCCATTGGCGGGCGGCCCTCGCGCCCTCCCACACACCACCTTCCCATTGGTCCACGCCCTCCGAAGTCCAGACGGGCGGCTCCACGCTACCCTTCCCCATTGGCTGGTGGCGTCGCCCGCCCTCGGCCCCAGACAGTTGTCGGCCGCTGATTGAAGCAGGGCCGGCTGCAGGAAGCGGCGGCGGCGGCGGCGGAAGCGGCCTGGTCGCCATCTTGGATAGGGGCAGCGGCTGTGGTGGAGGCCGCAGGCTGCAGTGGGACTCGCTGAACTGCCTCGCCTCACCCTGTTCTGGGCCTCACGCCTGCCGGAAAACCCCCGCAGACCTCCCCGCCCAGGGCCCCGACTAGTAGCGCAGGTCTGCGGCTCCGGGATCAGCCGCGACCCAACAGGGCAGGCCGGGTGCGCGGCCGGCCGCCGGCAGGGCTCGGAAGAGGTTTTCTTTGCTTTTCTTTTTTTTTTTTTTTTTTTGGAAACAGTCACGTGGGTCGGGGACCCTGCCTTTGCGGAGCGTCTGCGGCGGCTTCGGCGCTGAGAGGCGTGCTGTGTCGGAATTCCTTCAGCAGCCCGGGCCCCCACGCCTTGAGCCCCGGGCGACCCGAGTCCGCTGCGTGCGCGCTGACCGTCTGTGGGACGAAGGACCTGCCCTAGGAAGGGCTCACCTCCGGCCGGCCGTTTTGGACCTCAGGGAAGCGCCCGGGCCACCACGATGTGCGGCGGCTTCGGGATCAGAAGCCAGCCGCCTGGCAGTGGGGACGGAAGGGGGCGTAGGTTCTTCCCCACTCCTGGAGGAGTTCCCCATTTCCTCACAAGCGCCGAGGAGGCTGGCCCGCCGCCTCCTGCATCCCAGCTGAGCGCTCAGGCCCCTGACTGCCCAGGGCGCCTCCTGAGTAGGGTCCCGGGGTTCGGCGGAAAAGCGTCGGAGGTTTCCTCGTTGGCGGCCCTCCTTTCAAGTGCAAGGCTTGACTATCTGTCTCTGAATGCAGGATGTGGGCAAGGCGGGCTCTCAGTGCAGAAAGATTGCTACGGAGCTAAAAGGGCTTGGAGCCCAGCGACAAGGGTGGGCGAGGGGAACTTGTGCTGCTCCCATTCAGTGAATTCAGTGGGTCAAGTATCAGGTATTCATCTTTAATTCACATCACAGCAATCAGAGTGGGGAAAGGGGGAAAATCAAATGGCAGATATTTACATCTAAAATTCACATTACTTGGATTTAGAACATGCTACCACAATATATACAGTAAAGTACCTCTTGGGACACGACTAGTACAAATTCTTTTAACTGCTCTCTGGTACAGGTAAGATCATTTTTAAACCACTTTTTAAACATAAATACACAAAAGAAATGGTTAGAAGTTATTTTAAATAAGCACAGAAATGCTAGAGGTTAAAAACACATTTATAGGGCTGAATACCAATTGGACATCACACTCTATACATTTTTTGCTCAAATTCCTGTACAAATACACAGCATTCAAATAGGTATTTACAAATAAGCTTGAAAGAATGAAAATCAGTATTTCACAATCTTTTCAGAGGATTCTCATTTCTGGCCTCCCACTTCCCCTCAAACTGGCTGATTCTCCAACAAAGGGATTTGGAATCTGCTCTTTTCACCCAGTAGGGAAAATATGAGCAAAACCAACCTGGCTCACCTTGCATCAAGGAAGGCCAAGTGAAGCCACACTACCCTCCTTACCCTCCCGTGCTGCCAGGTGAGAAGGTAGATGTTCTTATGTGATGACTGCCTTGTCCAGGGATTGAGGTTCAGAAGTGCCCTAAAACCTAAAGATACCCTCCTACCTAAGAATCAAATAGAAAGCTAGCCCCTACCCCTCTAACACTTGTGAACACCAGTGGTCCAGGCCTGCCCTGCGCGGTCAGGGCTGCCATGACTGACCCTCTGCCCAGCGTCGTCCCCACCGTATCGGAAAGGACCCACACTGGTGAGAACCCCCAGATGCCCGAAGGTGATGTGGTCCTCTGTCTTTCCTAATAGGTTACTTGCTGGCATTCCTGTCAAACAGCTGGGTGTTTCTTTACAAAAGAAAAACACCCTGCCCATGGTCTTGTCTGGAAAGAGGGCTATGGGGGAAAGGATGGGGGGTGGGCTCGGCCCGACCATGGAGGTCAGACAGGCCAGCAGAAGAGTAGGGGAGAACACACCTGCTCAGCGAGAAGGCAGCCTTGTGACCGTCAAAGTTGTGACCTCAAGCAAAAGAAAGAAAAAGTCTACAGACTTTAAAAAAAGTAACTTAGAAGCACCCTGGTAAAATACTATTACGTCCCCACCCTGTCCCCCCAAATAATAAACCAAGAGGAAAATCAGTGCCCTGACCTGAAAGTTTCCTAAAAAGATTCCTCTGCGCTCTGCCCAACAGATGGGGGAGGCTGGAGAAACTGCCCTCCTGTCCGCCCTGAACCCTGAGTGGTCTGGTCCCACGGCCCGTAGCAGGGGCCCAGCACTTGGCCACTCGGAAGAAGATAATTCTACCTGTGTGGCTCTCTGCTTCCCATAGGAGACGCTCCTTCCCACCCTGCTTACCCAGGAGCTTGGTGAACCTGACCATGAGTCCTCAGGGCTTGGCATCCTGGCTGGGCAGCCAACCCCACTGCTCAGAGGTAGTGCTGAAAATCCCTGATTCAGGAGCTGGATGACAGGCTTTCTGGCCACTTCTGAAACCTCAGGATTTCCGGCCCCTGCCACACATCAGCCTCACTCCTATACCAGCTTGTCTCAACACATGGGCTCCTGGGCCCTGGGAGGAAGGTGGCTGGGGTAGTCCCTCTGGTTCCACATGCCCACTCAAGCCCCAGAGGGTGGGAAATAACCTCTGCAGATCCATTTGCCAAGGGGGTTCCCGTAGGGCATGAGGTGTATTGAGAGTGGAAGGGAGCAAATGGGCAGAAATAAAAGCGATGGAGGGAGAAATCCAAGACAGCTGGAGGGCAAGACTGGCGAGTAGAAGCCTGGCAGTGTGCCCTGGGCATGCAGTTAGGCCAGGTCACATGCCTGAGCTGGCAGGTTCGCCCAGCCAGCCCCTCAGTTGCATACTCCTGGATGGAAGGAGGCAGGTGGGCAGGCATTTGTGCAAAACGGCTTGTAGTCCCCTTGTCCACCTGTGACATGTAGTCCACGTGGTCCACACAATCCCTGAATACAACCATGAGCTCTTCTGTCCACACAGCAAAAGAAGAGGTCCCTAGTGCAATTTCCATTCTTCTGTGCATCTCTACCCTGGAGGGAGGGCCTGGGCTCCTACCCCAGACTCTGCAAAGCTGCAAAGCAAGTCTGTCTGTGCAATATCTCCATATAGCTCCACGTGGTCTGGAACTGAGGAGGAAGGAAGCATCTACTGCACAAAGGAAAAGAAAGGAAAACCCATAGAAATGGAAACGTAGAAACAAAATGAAAAGAGAAGCCACAACCCTCATGCTGCTGCGGCCTCTGTACATGGCAACACACAAGTTCACGGCAGTAGAACGTAGACTAGCGTGGTTCTCTCCTGAGTGCCAGGCCTCTCTGGCTTCCTGGGGGGACCTGCTTTGTAGACCTGGAATGGTTGGGCCAGCTGCTCACTGAGGGCGGCGTCCCAGCCGCCTCCCTGCCCCTCACTGTTCCCCTCGGCCATGCTCCCAGGCCATGCGGGCCTGCTCTTCCTTGGTGCTCCCAGGAGGCAGTGAGGCCTTGCGGTGCAGGCCCCGAGGCCTGTCGGCCTCTTCACGCAGCAGCACACCCTCGTCGTGCTCCAGGGCTGGCAGGCGGGAGTGATAGGGCTTGGGTGGCAGCGCAGGCGGGTCCATGGGGTCCTGAGGGATGACACATCCCGGGGCTGAGTGGCTTCGGCATGGCTGGGCCTTGATGGAGTCCAGGACGGCAGACTCGGAGAGGCTGTAGTGGACAGGGAGGTAGGGTGGCTCAAGATCTTCATCAGCATTCCAGGCCTGGCTCGGCATGGAGTCCATGGTGTCGGTTCGAGGTGGAGCCTCTGAGGAGTGCCCAAAGTTACTCTCGCTCAAGGAGGACACACCGCTGCTGGCACTGCCGGACAGCGTAGAGTTGCTGCCGTCCAGGCCTGACTGGGGGCTGGTGGGGGAGGCCGGGATAGGGTGCAGAGGAGACTGCAAAAGAAAGGGTGGACATGTTAGAGCCCCTCTCCCCAGACAGGCTGGCGGCCACTGTGTGATGGAGAAGACCAAGTCTGCTTATTAATGAGCTCTAGCAACCCTCTGCATGGGTCTTGTTTCTTCAGCAGCAGCCCCGTTACCTCTGGCTCCAACAAGCCCAGGGAGCTCCCAAATCACCTGCATTTGTGTGCCAAAACATGGCCCCGCCCTGGCTGCGGGGCTTGTGTCCCCTGAAACCAGGTCCCAGGATGCTGGCTATCGGCTGGGGTATGACAGAAGGGCTGGGTTGGCAGGCCAGTTGGGAAGGGCAGAAAGAACCTTGGTTGGCCATGGACCAGATGAGTGCATTCTGCTGCTAAAATCTGTGGTAAGTCAGTCTTTTCCAATTTGCAGAAAAGTCAATGAGTTTTTCTGTAGAGCTTTGATGCCTGATGCTTCTTGCTTTGACTAGACTCCAGGTTAAAATGCTCTGCGATCTACCACAAGAAGTGGTGTGCTCACACTCGTGGTGTGGGCAGAGCCCCAGCTTCCCCTGCTGGTGCTCGCTGCCCACACTCTGTCCAGGATCCTCTGCCCCCGCCCCCACTGCACTGGGTGCAGGACACATTGGCCATCTGCACCCCAGCTGTGGCTTCGGCCAGGCTGGGCTCTCTGGACGGAGGGGCAGTGAGGGCTCGGGTTTGTTCTGTGGGCCCCAGGGGCTGTAGGTGAGGTGAGAGGGATCATCCCACAGCCTGCTGGGGCTGTGGCTTCAGTACATTACCTTGCGCAGGGTCCGGGCAGGGAGGGCCGGGGGGGTGTCACCCAGAGGGTGGTGGAAGGCGTCAAAGTGTAGGGAGTAATGACCTGCAAAGGAACAGAATCACAGCCTCAGCTGGGGCACACCTGGGCTGCACACCAGCATGTTGCCGGGCAGACATGGGAAGAGTATCCTAGGAACCCCTCAGCAATGAAGGCCACAGGAAAACCTCTCTTTTCATTGACGTTCTCTAAAACACAGGCTGTTGGAATAAAAGACACCCGTGCTACACAGGAGGTCAGGACAGTCAAGTGTGTCAGCACCTGTTAACAACAGGCCACAGGCAGTGGCAGTCCCCAGCCCGCTGCTGGGTGATGGCAGTTCTGTTGTCTTCAGCCGCCCTGGTTGGGAGGCCCTCACTGAGCTCACCTGCTGCACTCGAAAACCTCAGCGGCCCAAAGCCCAGCAGCAGCCTTCCTGTGGCAGGGATGGTTTTCCTTGGCTGAGGTAGCCCAGTGAATGGCCCGTCTTCTCAGCCTGGAGGGCTGCTGCCCTTGGCCCTGAGCAGAGTCGGAGACCAGGGACTATCTGGGGACCCGCTGGAGGTCTTCTTACCATGCAGCAGGCTTCGGGGAGGCACTGGGGGGGCCAGGATGTGCCCCATGTGGGCAGACAGGAAGGGCTGGGCCTCTCGGGCTCCGCTATCCAGGCTCCAGCTGCTGGGGGCTGCTGGCACCGCTGAAGGGTGGAAAGAGATGGCATGAAGGGAGGTTACTTCTTGAGGTTACTTCTCCGCTGCTCTGGGAGAAGCCCATCCTACAGTGTATGGTGTCTCCAGATATGCACTATGTACCCAGCACATGTGGGAGTGATGCCAGCCCCTGGGACAGAACACACTGGCCAAGCAAGACACCGTGGCCCTTAGGAGGGAGTGGCCAGGGACAGAAGCTGCTTAAGAAGATGGCAACAGAGTGAACTGATGTCTGAACAGCACTCAGGATGAGGCAAGCTGGGAGAAAGTGCAGCAAGCAGTGAACAGCTGCAGCCTCCGGGGTTTGCCAGGAGGAGAAGAGAGAATGAAAGAGGTGGGAAGAGGAGTGTGGAGCAGGCTGACAACACGGAGAGGAGAGCACGTGGGCCACAGAGCTGCTCCCCACGCCGAGTCGGGGCTGTCCTACTGCCTCGGTCCAAGGGAAAGCGGGGAACAGCATGGGTGGGAGGCAGACTGCTCCTTCTAGAGCTAGTGTGTGGCCAGGGAGTGGGCAGGAGCTGCCCCCGAAAGGGCCTGTGGTTAATGTACAAGCTTTGCCCATTCTCGTCCCTTCTGTGCCCACTGGCTGGGTTTGGGACGCACAGGGTTTTTCTAGGCGAGGACTGGTATTCACTGTGTCCACTGGAGGGAAGAATACAAAGCCCAGGAGTCGTGGCCCAGGTCTAGCTGGACCTGCTGCTTCCTGAGAGAAAGCTGGGCTGTGCAGCCCATGGGTGCTTTTGGGCACGTAGAAAGGCTCAGTTCCTGGTACCCACATGCCATGGATGCCGGGTGGAGTGGGCCCCGGACAAAGGGAAACACAGTGTCCACCTATGCTAAGGAAGAAGTCCAGCGCCAGAATACCAGCCCCGCAACCACAGCTGGGGTGAGTGATTTCACAGGGGAGAGGAGAGGAGAGGAGAGGAGGGGTCGCTGGACCTGGGGTCCGAGGGTGCCACTCTGAGCAGCAGCAGGGGACATGTGAACCTTCTGGCCAATTCCTCCTGGAGAACAACTCCCACTGAGAACAACTAGGCCCTTTCTCTGATGGAGCCAGGCAAGCACAGTCTCCCTTCTGGGCTGTGGGCATCAAGGAGGGAGCCCACAACCCAGGGGCTCACTCACTGGCTTGGTTTTGGGGCAATCTTAGTGGAAGTGAGCCTGACTAGACTGGGGCTCGAGTTCTTTCTGCTCTAGGTACCGAGTGGGGAATGCCAGGGCCTAATGAGGACTGAGAAGCTCTGGGAGGGAAGGGGTTGGAGTCTGTCCTTCGAGGAGGATGTGGTTCAGGGATAAGGTGGTGACATCCATCCTCTTCTTTCTCACTGGTCAGGAACTGGCGAGGGCTTGCAGAAGGACACAGGGTAGAACTCCACTATTTAAACAGCCTCAGTTCTAAGGAGGATTGCTCAGTCTCACGGGATGGTTGATGGCTAGTGGCAGGAGGGACAGCGTGGCAGTGACTGGGTGGGCAGGCACTCAGTTGTTGCCTGAAAGGAGGAAAGAATTCTGAATCTGATGATATCAGGTGGATCCCACCAGAAGACCTCCTCAGAGAGCCTGGGCCACCCCAAGAATAGGACAGGCCCTCCTCATAGGCTCTTTCCAAGATGCAGCATGAGCCTCCTGGTCTTCAGCCCTGAAGCTTCCTCTCCCCAAAAGAAGAGTTCCGTCTCCATAAGAAGCCGCCAAATTTCATGGAATAAGCTTGGAAGTGGGTCTGGGCAGTTTCCCCAAAGGGGTTCTGACAGCCCAAGATCTCACATGCACACCTAGGCCCTGAAGAATTGTGGGGTTGCAGAAGTTCACCCACAAGGGCCCAAAGGAACTTGCAGCTAGGAAGGCTGTGGGTAAAGAGAGCGGGCAAGGCCAGTGGTTTACAGAGGGCGGCTTCCTGAGCCCCTCCATGGGGAAAGGGGGCCATCGAGCTCACCCTGCAGCCGACGCCGGGTGAGCAGTGAGGCCAGCAGATCTTGGAGCTGCAGCACAAGTGGACTGGGGCTGCTGGAAAATCTAAGATGGAATGACCTCTCCTAGAAGAAGAGGGGCAATCCCTACTGTGTCCCCATTTCTTTCTGTTTCCTGTGGTCCATCACTGGCCTGAGGGCCCCAGTTCACAGCCCACAGCCTCAAGGGCAGGCTTGCCTGGTCTGGGAGTCACTGCCTGGCAAAGAATATCTGCAAGTGAGAAGTGGAGTCCTCATGGGACTCAGGATCATGGTGACAAGTGTGTATCGTCCCTGCCCGGGAGGATCCAGGCCGACTCAGGGAGCTATTACTCTGGCCTGTGTTCCCACGAGGCAAGTGCTGGCCTGGTGGCGTGGACATGCTTGCTCGGGCTCAGCCTCTTTTCTGAGACAACCCGCTTTCCTTCCCACACCCAGGATGGTGTGTCCAGCTTCTTGTTGCAGCCTGGTCCGAGGCCTGAAGCTCTTCTGTATCCCGTTGGCACAGGGTCCCCGTCTGGCTACAGCACCCATTTGATCTGAGCCCATCTGTGCTCTTGGCTAGTTCTGAGATTGCTCCACATCTCAGGTGAAGAAAAGCCACTGTGGATTCTGGCCGTCGAGGCCAAAGGGCACTCTGATTTGGGGCACAGGTGCCGGGGTCCAGGTAAGCCGCATGTTCTGGGACGTGAAGCCTTGAAGCTAGGAAGGCATCTCCAGCCAGAATCTCCAAGCCATTTGTGGTTGAGCGCCCAGTGCGGATGCCTCCCAGGCACTGAGGTCATGGACCCACTGTTTGGTGTCCTTAGAGAGGACACAGGCATGTCCTCGGTGATGAGCAAGGGAGAAACAGTGACAGTGGGCAGAGCAGACAGCACTTGGTGAGGTGCGATGGCAAATGATGACAGCTTTGGAGGGACGTGTTCTGATGGGACAGTAGGTTGTATTCTTGGGGGACTGAATGTGCTGTAACCTCCAAAAGATGGAGGAGAGGGGAGGGGAACCTACAGGGTGATGGGCTGATATGGGGTCAGGTTCTGTGTGGCAGGCAGACTCAGCAGAGTCCCCAGATAGTCTTAGCAGGCTCAGCAGAGTCCCCTCTGTGTCAAAACTCACTCAGACCTCCATGTGTGTGGCTTTGGGCCAGGGTTACAGGGATCCAAGCCTGGTCCTTCCATCAGGGTCACAGGGGTCCAAGCCTGGTCCTTCCATCAGGATCACAGGGGTCCAAGCCTGGTCCTTCCATCAGCTTACTGGAGCAGAACACAGGCTAGAACTCCACTATCTAAGCAGCTTCTGTTCTAGGGATTTCCCAGTCTCATGGTATAGTTGAGGGGCTGGCAGTGTGTAAGATGGACTCAGCAGCTGCTGGCCAGAGTGGCTACAGGACTGGACTCCCTCAAAGTACCCAGTGCCTCCCTTGGAGAGCACTGTCTCTGGAAAATTCACTCTGTTATGGCCTGTCCTTCCCGCGCTTTTTGGGGCTTGCTTGGCCATAGGCCTGTTCTGAGCAATAAGGAGAGGTCCCTAAGGGCCCAAGTTGAGAGGGACCAAAGACTACAGGGCCTGCTGAATTCTGGGGCTATTTGGAGGCATCCAGGGGTGTGGTTACCCTCAGTTTGCACACAGCAGCCTGACTTTCCATAAAGGTGGGGTCAAAGCAGGTGGCCGCCAGGGCCTCTCTGGGGTGGGTACTGCGGAGGGGGAGATACACACTTGAAGAATCCAAACCTCAGCATCAAACCAAACATGGGTTGAACAGTGAGCTCAGGAACTGGTCAGTACTCTGGGCAGACAGACAGGCCTGGATATTGGAGTGTGGCTCAGCCTGGGTCAGCTGGTGCTCAGGGACAAGTCAGATGCTCAGGATGGGGACACACATGGGGGAAGGCCACCTGGGAAGTAGAACAATACCTTTTTCAGCCAAAGACAGATTGGGGTCACTGCAGGGTTTGCAGGCTCCGACCACTTGCTGGAACAGGGCCCGCTGGAAATTTGGCAGCTGAGGGAAGGAAAGAAACATCAAAGAGGGTGAAAACAACTAGTTAAAACTTGCGGGGGGCAGTGCTGTGGGCCACAGGAGCTAGAATATTCCAAAGTCAGATGGGCGAATCCAAGCAGTAGTACGGCTTGTGCTTGAGATGTGCTGAGAACATCAGGCCAGCCTAGGCAGGGCTGCCCAGTGCTATCTGGCCCTGAGTGCTGCCATGTGCCAGGTCTGAGTGTCTGGTAGGGCTCCAGGCTATCTTGTGCATGGCCAAGAAAAAGGATATAGGTGCCCTAGGGCACCTAACTGTTTCCCTCTGTCCTGCCAGGGAGACACTGGCAGAAAAGATTTAGGGACCCCTTTCATCTCTGAGAGCTGGCAAGTTTAGCCTCCTGGAGATTCCTCCCACAGGCCCATGTTAGCGCTGAGGTTGGCAGAAGGGCAGCACTCGAGCTTAGAGTCAGGCAGGACTCTTGTGATGGGCAGCTGCCAAGCAGACCTGCTCCCTTCACCTGGCAAGGCTGACTGGGCACAGGAAGGTACTACTGAGGAACTCCTGGCACTCTGGGACTAGGTAAGTTGCTTGGAGGTGACTTTCATGGACTCTGATGGAAGGACAGGGAAGACTGGACAGGAGGAGGGGTTAGGACCTGTGGCATCTGTTCAAGGCCCCCAGGTAGGATATTTGGAGAACTGTGCAAATGGTGTGGAGAGGAGTGCCAGCAGGTAGTGAAGGGCTTCAGGTGGAGGGGTGCAGGGATGGAGGGATGGAGGGATGAAAGAGGCCAATGAAGGTGTCCTTCACACACACAGAGAGGAAAGACACCCTCCAGGCCCATGTCTATCATTGCCTTCTTGGAAAAGGAAAGAACTAATTTCCTCTGCCATACTGTTTTGGGATAAGGAGTTCAGAAGGCCGGCCAGAAGGACAGATAGCCACACAAGCAATGGCGGTTCCAACCCTGCTGCCATTCCACCCACAATGCACTCTGTCTGGAATCCTGGTCTTCGGATTCGCTGCAGTCCCCATCCAGGAGCCCGGCAGCCTCCTGAGTGTCTTTCAGCAGAATGAGGAAGACATGGAGGACAATGCAGAAAAGCCTAGCAAGGATGATGAGGGAAGCCCAGGCCAACATCCTGGCTGCAGATGGCAGCCAGTAGGCCGGATCTACTACCTGTCCATTCTCCAGGATGGCTGCTGGATACATAGCACTGCTCGGGCGGTCCCGGTGTGTGGGCAGCAGCAACATCATTTCCCGGGCGTGGCGGTACTTATCTGGCAGAGAGGGAGAGCCTGTAACCAAGTGAGAACAATCACGCACAGATGACAAGCCACAGATGGAGCGCCCAGTGGGTAAGCATCCCTGGGGCCAGGGAAGCAGGGTAGGCGTCCCCTTGCAGTTGGGGTGAGGATGAGCTCAGCAAACACAAAAGGAATGAAACAGTCTGGTGGTTAGATGGTGTCAGGGGCTGCACCTTGCATCCCAGCTGAGACAGATATACTGGGGCGATGCAAACCCACTGACAGACCCCTCACCATACTCAGGGGCAGGTTGTGAGCAGAGTTGAAGACTGGAGGTGGGCCCCTAGAGGTCCCTGCACTCAGCACTCTTGGGACATGGGTGTGACCTGGATGCTGGGCCCTCTCAGGGGGCCCAGACCAGCTTGCAATGACATCATCACACAGAGACAGAGACACTTGGGTAACATAGCAGCACAGTTCTTAACTTGACACATCGTGTCTCTGCACACTTACCTTCTCCAGACGCCACTGGCCCTGCTCTCAGCTAGCCCCCTACCACCTCTTCCCAGAGGGTCTTTCCTCCCAGGTCACAGGCCTCCAGCATGTGGACTCTGCATTTTTGGCCATTCTACTGCAGCCCTAGAGCCAGGCTGGCTGGGTACCCAGGCTCAAGGTACCTCCAGGGTTTCTTACTCTGAGACTTGCCCTTCGGCGAACTCGGGGGTCATGGGGCAAGTCTTGGAGTTTTGGGGCTTTAATCCAGGCTTGTGACTTAACTTGGTTTGTGCTCTTCTCTTGTGAGGCCTCTGCGGTGACATCCTCTGGCCTGAGGGGCTATTATGGAGGCCAGACCATGGCAGATGTGATGGCTTAGTCCCCATTCATGGACGCCATAGCTATAGGCCCAGGAACCTGTCAACCCATGGTCCTCGAGGGGACCTTCCACAGAAATAGTGCAATAACCTGCTGGCTTTCCTTGGGTAATATGGAAGGCCCTCCAAATGGGCACCACTCAAGGTGCCAGACCCAACATGTCTATAGAAATTGGTAGGGTCTTCTGCACCCATCACAGGAGGGTCACCTAGACCCCAGCGCCACCGACGTGTCCACTGGAAGCCTCTGTCTGGCCCAAGTGCTTGAAGCCCTCTCTGTAATGGGCTCTCAGTGAAGCTGGAGAGCTGAGACAGCCCACGGAGGGGCTCCATCTGAGAGGTGTACCTGTGGCTCTGGCAGCCATCCCTGAAACCCAGGGTCTCTGCGGCCTTTCTTTGGGTGTGCAGTGCAGGGCTGTTAGGGTACAGCTAAAAAAGGGCTGCAGCCAACTTGCCCCAGCAGTCCTTGAGAAATTCCTCTTGTGCTCATTTTAGTCCAAGAAGATGAGGCTTAAATACCATGAAGAAGTCAGTATAATATACACCAGTAATGCAATTATTCTTTATGTAAACTTCTACCACAGAGGGTCTGAGCCATTCTATTTGTAGAACCTCAGGGCTGGCTTTAAGACCTAGTCTTAAAAATATCCTTCACTGATAAAGCAATGAGTAAAGTATGCCGTTTTGAAAAACGTTTTGTTTTAGAACTTGAGGCAACCTCAAGCAGATGGCTGTGTAAAGGAAGAAGAGCTCCTAACCCCACTGGCTTCTGTAGTGCTTTCCTGGACAGAAGCTTCCTGAGCCCTACCAGCCACAGCTCTGGACGGGGCTACCCTCCATAGAGACGCACAGAAAGCTACACAGCACATTTATGCCAACTCGGCTATGTCACACTCACAATTAGTACCCACTGCGCACCAGGCATGCAGGTGACACACGGTACACTGCCTTTCTCAGGCTGGCCGTGGTCCCTGGCCTCACAAAGCTCATAGCCTAGCTCACCAGGCCGGCCCCAGACTGTGCACTCAACATCCTGATACACACTGGGGAGCTATGATGGAGGGACAGCGGCCTGCAGGCCCCAGGGAACTGAGGATTTGTGCCCATGTTCTGGAGGCCCTGCTGGTTCTATTAGGAAGGGGTGCTCTGTGCTACCACCACATTTCTCACTCTATTATCTCAGTTCCCTCCCACTGCCCTCTGCCCTGGGCAGCTAGTCCCACGGTAGAAGAGAGGGATGGCTACTTTTCATGAAACCGTTTAAACTCTTTTTAAACTGACACAAAGAATTTTGTGTCACAGGACTTCAGAGCTACTTGAAGTGCAGTCTGGTGACCCCCAGGGAGGCTGAGCCCCAGCATGACCGAGCTATTCAAGGAGGACCTGCACAATCCCTACGTTTCCTAGCCCTGATCCATTTTTGACCACCAGGGGGAGCTGCCGACCTATGAGACTTTAGACTGCGCCTTGCGGGCCATTCCACTTGAAGGCTACCGAAGCACCAGGGACCACAGCAGAGCGTGTCAATGGGCATGGCGAGGAAGGCCACTGGTGTCCTGACTGGCCCTGGGAGTGGGGGAAGTGACTGGAACGTGAGGGCTTCTCCAGGACGAACGCCTGCTCCATGGAAGCCTTCTCCACACCCGGAACACCAGACAGAACCCCAAACCGAGTGCCCCGGCCGCTCCCTCGCGCGGGCCTCCGGTGCACCTACTACCGCATCTACCACCATCTTCCTGACGCCGGCTCAGTCTTGTTTTCTCACAGGGCCTGACACTGTGCTTCCTCTCGTACGTGTCGGACCCACCGCTTTCTCCACATGGGCCTGTGCTTGGACGTTGTAGCTGAGAAGTAGCTTCCTGCTCTTTTTTTTTTTTTTTTTTAGCTGAGCCATCCTGCCACCTGTTGGCAGCTCACGGCTGCTCAGCTCGGGCTGACTCGAACCACTGTTGCTCAGAGCTCAAACTCTTGAGCGAGCTCTTAACCAACTGAGCCACTCAGCCGGCCCTTCGCTTCCTGCTCTTTCTTAATTGCCTCTGTCCTTACTCTCTCTTACCATTCCCTGCTTTGGGCCCAATTCTATTTAAGCATTTTGTTTACTTTAGTACTTAATGTCTGAAAGGGAAGCAATGTCCAGGAAGGGAAGGGGCTCATCAGTCTTTCTCTGTATGACATTCTGGAATTTGGCCATTGTGATAGCTTGTCTCCAGAGAAGGCGGCCATCAACGCCTTGCCTTCCAAAACACACACGCCACTTCTCTCATGAGGTGGCGTCTCGTTCCCCATGCTGGTATCTGGGTCGGCCTTAGTGTCTTGACCAGCTGACAGAATGTGGCAAAAGGGACATTCTGGGATTTCCAAGGCTGGGTAATAAGAAGCCTAGCAACTTCTGCCTCCGTCTCTTGGAACGCTTGCTCTGGGGAAAACGAGCAGCATGCTGTGAGAAGCCCAAGCCACTCAGCTAAGCTTCCGGCTGACGGCCTCTATCAACTGCCAGCCATAGAGTGAACCATCTTGGCTATCCAGCCTAGGTGGGCCCCAGGTGACACCTAACTAGAAGCTCATGAGAGATGACAGTTAGAATTGCTCAGTGAGCCCTGTTAATCCACAAAACTGTGAGTGATGATAATAAATGGCTGTCATCAGCTATTTAGTTTTGGGGGGTGGTTTAATATGTAGCAATAGATAATCAAAGCCATTTGAAATAAAGAGGGACTACTTCCAAACAGGGGGAAAGTAATTTCTCTCTGCAACCCTGATGATGCAAGAGCCCTGCTGGTTCCTCCTGGAGCACTTGTTAAAAGCTTGATAAGCGAACAGATCAGTAAGTGATTAGCTGGAAGGACAGAGGTGGGAAAGGCCAGCCTGTGAGGTCCCTGGTGGTGCCTTTGTTCTCTCCAGGCGCTGAGTGAGTACCAGGTACACCTTACAGGAGTGTCCTAACAATGTCAGAGTGGAATTGAGTTCAAATGTCCATCCTTTGTGGCCTTCTGTTTTTATCAACAATCATGGTCCAGAGATCGGGCTTCTGCAAGAATACCCAGATAAAGTCTTAGATACGGCTGAGTGTATTTTAGAGAGTGTTCAGGCTAGGGAAGAAAACCGCACAACAGATTATATTACAAAATCTGTTTCTGCAGCTCTACTCAGGAGCATTCACCTTAAGACACTGTAAATGCTAACCTCCATTACAGAATTTGTGGCTGACTTCTCAGGGCTCCCTTCCTTTTTATTCCTCAAGCTATCTTTTGTAACACAAGTAAATAGCTTTGTGCAGAGCCATCTCTACTGACTAAGCCTTTCCCAACTGAACAAAGTTTTTCTGATTGTTGTTACTATTTAGAATAACATTTTCCAGGGTTCACTGTAGCCTTCAAATTTAAATTTTCATACTTTGTCATGATAAGCTTACTTTTGCCTTAACTTTGATCTTTATTCTTGTAAACATTTCAATGGAAAAGAACTGAGCTTTCTCCCAGGCTGTGTCCTCTTACTGAGGTGGAGAAAAGCAGCTGCCACCACTGCTCAGAGCAGGGTCTGACGCCAGCCAGGGAGAGGTCTGGATGTAGGAACCCCCGAGTACGTAGTGCTGAAAGCACAGATAAGCATGCTCTAAGTCACGGAGCTGCTTTCAAAGATATAGCCACAGATGAAAGGAGAACAAGTGGGGCTCACGAGGCCCTTTCTTCTCCCTTCTGCAAGCAGCGCCCTGCCAGCCTTACCTCGGGCACTGGAAGGGGCAGAGGTTATCATCTGGGATGGTGCTGAGTGAGTGGAACTCAGGCTGGAGGAAGAAGGGCTTGCCTGGGATGAGGACAGAACAGAGACGTTGGTGACTGAGCCCTGGTACCTGGGGTTGGGATACGCGAGCTGCAAAGGGAGAAAAGTCAGCAGGACAGAGGTCTGAGTGGCCAGGATTGGAGAACTGGCCTAGAACTGGCTTCTTCATGCCATGAGGTGCCCAGATCTGGTGACTGATGCTGTGGCCTGGGCCCTGGTAGAGACCAGGCTGATTGCCGGCACTAAGGGTCACCCATACCACCCACGGAGCCAGGCTATTGGGTAGATTCTAGTGATGGTGCCTGTGGAGGAAACAGGACTTAGCCATTAGGAATGCCAGGCAGGAGGGCAATCTGGCAGAGGCCTTGCCCATGGGATCTGTAAGAGCAGCCAGGACTGAGGCTGGATCTCCCTCTTGGGGAATAAGGCCTCAGAACTGCATCATGGGAGGGCTGGCGGGAAGGTAGTGCTGCTAGGTCTGGGGGTTCTGCACTCAGTAGCTGGAGAACTAGGCAGGGATGTCTGTCCTCGGACCAGACCAGCCAGCAGAGAGGTGAGTCCCCAGGGATATTGTCCCGGCCCACTCTCCTGAAACAGCTCTGGTACCTGCATGTGGTGGTACAGGTCCTCGGGGGCCTCGCCCATGGCGCTGTCACCCAGCATCACCACGTTTCCCGCTTCACTAGACGCGTGTGAGGAGAGAGAGGATGATGAATGGCGACCTGTGCCCATCAAGTTCATGGGGCTGTGAACAAGGGTGGGAAATAGGGAGGAGTCAGGCCTGGAGCTGAGAAACCTTGCTAGGTGGTGGGGGACATTGGCAGGGGGTGTGCAAAACAGTCCTCCCTAGCATTAGACGCCGATGCTTTGGAGGGTTCCACAGCTAATTCTCAGACCCACCTGAGGCCTGGAGCAGCCCCTGCTGCTCAGGAACCCTGGTCTGGGACAATAAGTAGGCTGGTACAGCCACTACCTGGAGTTGAATGGTTTAAGACCACTCCGTCTTATGACACCAGTACTTTCTCAATTAGCAGGAATAAAGAGATACACTGAACCAGGTCACGGGTCCAAGGTCCCCTTTGCTATGGATGCTAATCTGAGCGAGTGGCCACCTTCTGCTGGGATCTGCTCTGTGGTCAGGGGTGTCTTCCTGGTATTATGGGGAAGCTATCACAATAGCCGGCCGTGAACCACCTCTGAGCTCGCTTCCATATCAGCAGCCCTCCACTATCAATGTGAGGCAGCCCCTTGCCCATTCACTCCTCACTTGCTGAATGCCCACTGTGTGCGGGCCTGCTGCTCACACTGGGAAGCAAACCTAAATGAGGGAGGGGCTCCTCCCCTGGCTTGGTCTTCCTACCCCAGAGGCTGGGAGTGTGCAGCCAGGCCTCCTGCATTCAGAGCAGCCACACCTCCATGTCCCCATCACCATGTTGCTCTCTTCCAAAAACCAGGCAGGTGATCCTCATCCCCCTTGGGGTCAAGTCCCAAGGCTTGGGTGAGCTGAACAAGAGCCACTCAGAGCTGGTCCTGGACCCCCTCCATGCCCCAGAGTCCTGCACTTGGCTCTAACGCAGTGCTGACCACACCAGCTGGTTCACACCCTGAGGCGTCCTCTTGGGATCTTGCTCCATCACCTTCCTATCGCTACTCTTTTCTGCCTAGCAAACTTCTACTTATCCTTCAAGACTTACCCCAAGTGCCCCCTCCGCCAGGTACCCACAATACCATCCTGTCACCCAGGATGGCTGGATGCAGATGTGGGTCCTTGTGTACATGGGTAGGAGGGCGTGTCAGTGACTACATGCAAGCACTATTTTGGGCTGCCTTGCTCTGACCTTTGACAGTTAGACTTCCCTCGGTGGAGGGGACCCTCCCCAGCCCTAAGGTCGCACCTGTGCCGGTGGGTCATCTTGATGCTCTCGGGACTCATGGGGCTGTGGGATGCTAGGACATTTCCCCGGGGGGTGCTGGTGCCTGAACATGCAGGACTTAGCTTGTCCAAACCTGGAAACTCCTGTTAAGAAATGAACACCACTTCATCAGAGAGTAAACAACAAATAAGTAAGAGGAAAGCAGGCTGGTGGTAGAAATATAAAAGAAAACAAACAAGAATTATATCCTGTGGGCTGAATCGGAACTGCTGACTTCTTTTGAGCAATGACCTCTTCACAACTAAAACACCCTCCTGACCACAGTGAACCCAGGCCAGAGGCGAGGACGCCCTAGGCTGACCCCACTGAGAGAACACATCTGGTAAACGCTGGAGTTGGTCCGAGTTCATAGGCATGTGTTCACAGGCTTCCTCACTACTGAATAAGTAGAACAGGAGCTGGGAAGGAGGAGGGAAAGAGCTGCTTATCAGCTGTCACTCACCGGGCGCCCCTTACATAAGGACTTGGGTTGGGTTTTATTGGATTGCTAAATGGACCAGCTCTTAGTGAGCTGGGTTAAGCAGTCTGTGACACAGTTTATGGGTAGATAGGACACAAAATCCTGATGTAAGTCACTGAAAAACAGCCGAGTTCTACTTTAGCATAATTAACTTCTTACTAAGTTTGTGGACATCTTTGTAGAAACTTTTGGTCCCCGACCCTCCTGGGTGACAGCACATTGTTTTTTGTCCCTGTCTGTGACTCCGAGGAAACAAAGCACAGTTGTCCAGGTTTCATCACGACCTTCCCAGTCTGTGGGTCCTCAGTCCACGAGGGAGGTTTCTGAGCTTAATCTGAAGCTGCAGCAGGTTTCCTACCCGCTTCTCCCAAAGCCCACTCAGGCTGAAAGGTGCTTCTGCAGCTGGACAGGACACCTCCATGTGGGTCCTGGACACCTTGGCGAATGTGGGCGAGCACTCTGTGCTTTTGGTGTGGTGATTGATAGCCTGCCTGGCAAAGAATCCCCCTGTGGCCAGGCCCTAGTCTGCCTGGGTCACCTTCTGTGATGGAGAAGTTTGTACACAGCCAAGACCAGCCGAGCTGGCAGGAGATATAGTAGGATGACAGAAAATGGAATACCTATCATTCAGTGACACTTTACTAAACAGGCATCCTGATTTTTTTTTAAAATTGGGGAACAGTGTGTTTTTTCAGGACCCATCAACTCCAAGTCAAGTAGTTGTTTCAATCTAGTTGTGGAGGGTGCAGCTCAGTGGCCCATGTGGGGATCAAACTGGCAACCTTGGTGTTATGAGCACTGCGCTCTAAACAACTGAGCTAACTAGCTGCCCCAGGACATCCTAATTTTAAGGGGGAAACATAAAAGACTTTCTTTGCATCTTTCACCTTGAAATACCTAGGGGGAATCATTCTAGAAAGAAATTTCAGGCTCTATGGATGTTCCTCTGGAAAACAAGCCCACTTCTCAGACTACAGACAAGACTCTTTTTTTTTTCCACATTCCATGCTGCCCACACTTGTACAGGAACAGGCTGAGACCTGTACTGAGGGCCTGGAGGGACTGAGATGACCAGAATCTCCAGCCTCCAAGAACAAGGCAAGTCAACCCCAACAGGTCAGGCCCACTGTGTCTGAGAAGCCCAGCCTCTCCAGGGCCTCTGTGGCCCGTGGTTCCGAGGAGAACTTCTTGTCCTCGACGGCCTTGCCTAAACCTGACCAGCTCTCCATCCCTTGCCTCCCTGCCTCTTCTACCCAGTGGTCCTGGGTAATGAGAAGAGAGCAGCCGGTTACTGGGCTCACACCCCTTGAGGTCTGGCAGTCAGCTTGTTTAGCAGGAAGGCTTCTCTAGAACACATTTGGAGTTAGCCCCATGGTTGAAGATGGGGTGAAGGTATGTGAACAGGGGTTCAAGACCACCTGAACCTTATTCTCAGCCAGTCAGCATTCCCTGTAAGACCCCCGAAGGGCAACCAGTCCTGGAATGCAGGTCCTGCTTCTGTGTGTGTGCATGAGTCCTTGGGCCAAACCCTGCCATGGAGCCCTGAGGGCCAGGCCAGAGTCAGCTCAGAACCTGCCTGAACCCCCCCACCCCCACCCCCTCGCCCCCCACACAAGGCTTTCTCAGATGTGAGCCTGGGTCACAAGACATGTTGGAGGAAAAAGGAGAGAAGAAAGGAAGGGAGCTAGAAGGAAAGGATAAAGAGAGGGGTGGAAGGGAGAGAGGGGATGAAGACAGGGAGGAGGGAGGAGAAGGAGGGAGATGGGGGAGAACGGGCTGGCTTAGGCTAGGCCTTACCTCTTCAGGTCTTGGGAGGAAAACTATCTCCAAAGAGATGTCTAAATGGCGGCCACATACTTTAGCTCATTCCTCCTCATATGAGAACCTCTCCTCACAGCAGAGAACCTTAAGAAAACGCTCTTTGCCCTTGAATCTAACTGCTCCTTAGGCAGGGGGTGAATGAGGGGATCCTGGGTGTCCTTCCCCTGGAGGAATGCCCACCGCTGTGGTGGAGACAGCTTTCCCTTCACATCCCTGCCCCCCGCCCCACTTTCCTTTCACTCGTTGCACAGGTCTAGAGGGAGTGAGTCCTGCTTTGACCCCAAACCCTCCTGGGTGACAGCAGAGCAGGGGAGGGCAGGGCAGGGCAGGGCAGGGGGCAGCTTACATGGTAGAGACTGGCCCGCATCATCTGAAACTGATCGATCAGCTTCTTATGTAGAGGGCGCATTTCTGGGTGCACGAACTTCTCATGAACTGCCAGCCCGACTCCAAGGACATGGACCTAATAGGTGACAGACAAGGCCACTCTGTTAGCCAGGCAGCAGCCCTTGAGAGCTGCAGCCATCCTGTGCATGACCTTTCCCTCCCGGCCACGGGCCTCCAAAGCCCACAGGCATACCTGCTCCTGCATGAGGTCCTTGAGCTGGGCGATCTTCTCAGCATCACCTGGGTGCTTGGTGATGTAATCTTTATCAAAGAAGGCCTGTGGAAGGAAAGGCCAAGTCAGGAAGACTTCCCAGGACTACTGTTTAGAGGGGACCCAGGAGGCTTGAGTCTGAGGTTACCATCTGAAAGGCAGCCGGGCTACCTCCTCACAGGTACACACACCAACACACCTCTAGACTGGCCTGCTGGAACCTTCTGCAATCACAGGTGTGTTTTTTTGTGTCTATGAAGTTCTGATAGTGGCCAAGTCATCTAAGCCTGGATGCTAGTCCCAGTCCTTCACGGCGCCTGGGTAGGGCAGGCAGGGCAGGTGGCCAGGGGGTGGGGGTGTGTCTCGACCAGCCCACAACTCCCTTCTTGTGAAGGACTGGGCTCCAGGGCTCCTCTTGGAGGCCACTTAACATCCTTCCATAATCAGCCAGATTACCCATGTGGCGGAGTTCAGAGAATAAAAGCCCCACCCCCAGAGCTGTGCCACAGAACTAGGGAGCAGGGGAGCTTAAAGCCTCATCCAGGGCCATCCTCAGGCAGCTGAGGCACAGCCAGGGGAGGGCAACTTGGGAAGGCTGTCCTAGGAAGCAGGAATGTCTGGAACGTCCAGAAGAGGGGTCTGAGAACACCTTCCCAGCCAGGGTGCCCTGTGGGCGAGCTCACCTCCTGGTAGCGCGCGATGCCTCCATTGACCGCTGCGTCAATGACGCCGTTCAGGCACATGCTGAGCAGGCTGACGTTGCCATGTGCCTGCTTGTGTTGATACTGGCCGATCAGGGCCCGGAGCTCCTGGTTCTTATTCTCCACCACCTGGATGGCATTCTCCAGAGGGCTCACCTCCACCTGAGGCACACAGCGCATGGTGTCATCACAGGCCCAAGGGCAAGTGCTCCCTCACCACAGTCCTGAGAGCAGGGATCTGACACCTGAGATGCTGCCCACTCGCTCTGGTACCTGTGGACTTGGCTCCCTGGCCCTTTCTAATGTTCTCTGCTGATCTGTAGGCACTAAGAAGGGCAGCAAATAGTGAGAGCCCCAGTCTCGAGATCAGAAAATAGTCTCACGTGTAAACTGGGAGACTGAAGATCCTGTGGCCTAAGGGTATCATGAGGATTAAATGAGAGGAGGTGTAACAGGCCCTGGTACAGGACTGGCTGGTGGGAGCAGAGGCCAGGGAGGTGGCCAAAGCTCACTCTTTATTCCCCAGTCCTTAGAGAAAGGGCCCCAAAGCCAGGGCTGAGGGGGCAGCTCTGAAGACCAGTCCCAGGTGAAACACAGCTCACCAGTTCCCTCCTCTCCACTTCGAACCACCGAGAGATGCCAGGCAAGCTGTGGGTCAGGGTCAGCGTGGTGCGCTCGATCCATAGGCTCTGCAGGGAGGGCATAGGTAGGGACAGGCCATTAGGCAGGTTTTGTCACAGCCCGCCTGCCCGAAGGGTGAGACAGTGCCGAGCTCCCGAGAAAGCGGGGCCTGCCCTGGCTTCGCTACGAGCACGGCCCCAGCTTTCCTAGATTTGTTCACCTTGAATTCATTCTCCTTGTCCTTGGGGCCTTTGTGAAAAGGCCTGTCATACCGGAACTTCCTCACATTGTTGACCCGGTAGAAGCTCTTGACGCGATCCGGGACCCTGTCCATCTGCAGGACATCCACATAGTCTGGAATGGGCGTCACCGCATAGATCTGCAGGTCTGGGCAGGAAGTGAAGGGGAAACTCAGGCTGCCAAAGAGATGGACCTGAATGGCTGACCCATGTCATCCCCCGAAGGAGAGAAGCGCATCTCAGGGGCAGATCAGACTCCAACACAGTCAGACCCAAGTTCCCAATCTGCAGCCCTGCTCTGGCAGCACGTCTCCTGAGCGCTCAGCCAAGCTGAGATGGCCATGGCCAAGTGTTCTCCAGAGGCCTTTTGAGTCAGAAGGGAAGAGGGGTCAGAAGAGTACAGGTGCCCAGCCCACAGGAGTGAGAAAGGTGCCTGGGCCTGGCCACTGCAGGTAAACTGTGTTTACTGTAAAACCACCTTTTAATAAAACACTCTTTGGGGTCTTTGTGGAGTTAACACAGGGGAGTCCACTGCCCTCCCCTCTGGAACAAGCTTGCCACGGTCATAATGACTGTCATGAGGCCTCCGAGGAAGCTGTGTGAGGGGATGAGGGCAGGCTGGTGTTTGCAGTTGAGGGCTACCAGCAGCACAGACACTCCCCATCTCATTCTCTGCCCCTCTGCCTCCGTCCTCCTGATGACTACTGGGGACATAACAGATGCAGCAGGGCACAGAACTGGTGGTGTCCCTGTGGCAAGAGTCCTGGTGGGACCCCAAATCACCTTATACAGTGATTTCTCCTGGTTGCCTACAAAGACCCCTCCCAGGGCAGGGTGGGGACAGATAAAGGTCCCTCTGAAGCCCTGCTGATGACTAGGGCCCCCCTCCCCCCATGGCTAAGGGCATGCCAGGGCCTCCTCTGTGAGGCACAGTGCTCCCTGCTAAGTGTGGGTTTGGTGATGAGGACATACTCTGGTTTGGGATGTATGGGTAAGCTAGCCTATGAGGCCAGTGATGTGGCCAAGGGGCAGCTGACTGGGTGTGCCTCATGTCCCAGGGTCCCGGCCCTCCTCCCCCACCGAGTGTCGAAAGATACACTGGGCATCACACTGCAAGATGGCGTCGTCGGGGTGGTTGGGGTGCTGCATGGCGACGGCCTGTGGGAACTCGCTGAGCATCCTCTGCTGGAAGGCCTCCAGCCTCTCGTAGTCGTGGCCACGGCACACATATTCTTTGTTCTGTCACAAATAGGAGAGCACACTCTAGGCCTTGCCTGCAGCCCCCACCTCCATCCACATGGATGTCAGTAAGTTACTTGTCTCACAGACATGTGCTAGGAGCCTCGTGGCAGGCCTGGGGCACAGCACTCAGTCCCTGTCCTGAGGGAGACGATGGTCAAGACGACACAGGGAAAGAAGGCGGCAGAACTGCACTGTGGCGTGGCAGCCCGGGGAGCGGGGACAAGTTCAGGAAGCTTGGAGGAGGGAGGGCACTTACCCAGGAAGGAGTGCAAGGTGAGGGGTGGGATTTTGGAAAAACCCATGCCTGAAAAGAGTCCTGAAAGGTCCACCTGGGTCAGCCTAGTAGAGAAGTGGGGAGGGGCGAACTATATGGTACGGTGACAACCAGGGGGACAACAGCCCAAACAGGACGCACAGCTGGAATGAAGGTGCATATGGGAAGCTGGCAGGAGGGTGATTGCAGAGGCCTGCAGATGTGTGCTTTTGAAGGATCACTTTTGTCAGCCTGGAGGAACTGTCTAACCAGTGCCCAGTGTCTGGTGGGTACTCAGTAACTGTGTATCGCAGCAATTCCTTTGTGAAAGTGTCAGCAGAACATGTTGACATCATTCTAAATACACATTTCTTAAAACCTTGTGTTATATCATATTAGGTAGGTGTTAGGACGCATTTGTTCCCCAATGTGGGCTGAAGTCATGATAAGGCACCCTCAACCCTGCTGCTGTCTACCTCACGGCTGGCCAAGAGTGAGTGGCTGGGGGAGGTTCCTCTGACGCCCTGTGGTGACATCTGTCTGCCTGGCCAGCTGCCTCACCAGATCCACTTTGACAGAGTGGTGTCAGGTATTGGCAGCCCCTGCTGTCATGCCTTCACAGGGACAGAGAAAAAGAGGTTCCACAGGGCCAGCCATATGCTTCCCAGTACAGGGATGGTCACAGGCCAGGCCTTGGAGGATCTCAGTCCTTTTCAAATAGGATTTGTACCCCCATTCACTTGCCCTCTTGCTATGGGAGAATCAGCTAAGGCTGGGCCACATGTCTGGATGGATCAGAACGGAAGAGCAATACCAGAAGGGAGGTCATGGTCAGAAGGAGCAGGCTGGCCTCTCCACTGGAACAGACCAGGAGTCAAAGGACAGAGACACTTCTAAGTCCCTTGCTTGATAAGCAGAACTGACAAAGAAGGTAATTATGAAGAACTGGCCTTTTCACATCCACTCACAAATGTACAATGCTCATCAGTGTCTGTTCATGGGTCAAATGAAGAGAAACAGAAATTACCCCAAGAAGGGAGGGCTGGATGTTTTCCTGTCTCTGAGCAGATTACTAGATAATCCTGTCTGTGAGCGAGGCAGGCAGATGGTCCAGAGAAACCAAGCTGATAGTGCTAACGTCATCGCTGGCCTGTGTGCTCAGGGAAGGTGAGGGAGTAGCCTAGCCTTCTGGGTAAGATCCAGCAGAAGGAAGACACATAGTGCTGACCTTGAGGCTGGCCCTTGGTTTCAAGTTTGCTCGGGTGAGAGCCCCAGCATCCCCATCCAAGACCGATCTGGCTGACTGTTTTGCACTTTGTCCTTGCCATCTACCAGGCAAACAGCTACCTCCTCTAGGGCTTCTTCCATTTGCCACAGATGAACTGAGCAGCTGAGAGAAGGGAAGGCAGCATGTAGCCAGGCCAGGCTGATTTGTATGCATGAAACATCACTCCTAGGGACTGCTCCTTGTGTGGAGATAGGGGTGGTCTGACAGGTGACATTTTCTAACACCTCTTGTTTATTCTTCCTCCATTACTGGCACCCTTGAACCATGTCTGAACATTCAGGCTGTCATTATCTGTGTGGCTCAGATGCAGGTTCTATGCCAGGTCATACTTGTCAGAAAGCTCTGAGAGCCGGGAGACACAGGTGTGCCCTGTGACGTAAGTACGAGGGGTGGGAGCCAGGTTGAACCATGATGGAGACCTCCTATTTGGCAGGGACAGAAATGGCAATACCAGGGCCTGATTTTGTATCATATATCCAGAATAATGATGTTTTGGAGTAAAATCTGGTTTATGACATACAAACTGTGGGATTATACAAGGAGAATGACAACAAAGCATAACAGGCAAAAATAAAATAAGAAAGAAATAAGTTACAAGGCCAGAATCATTAGTTTGTCACAGAACTTTCTAGAGATGCTTTTGTTTCTAATTCTTGTGTAATTCCTTCTTCCTCCTCTGCTGACCTCTACCTCCATTGCTGTGGTGCAATCTATGCTGATGGGCACATGCCACCTCTGAAGTGCCTGGGCTGGATGGTTCCTAGAGAGTGGAGGAGGCCCAGCCCTCCTGTGGAGGGCCTCTGCTCCTTCACATCATGCTAGTGGAATCGCTCCTGTGCAGTGGGATCACAATCAGGCAGAGTGTGCTTGCTGTCCCTGCCAGTATTACTAGTTCCTACAGAAATCAGTTTTCCTTCTAGCCTAGAATGATTACTGCGCAGGAAATGTGCAACTTAACCTGCCTTACATCTGAAATGTTGTTGGCCTGGATTCTGCTGCTAGCAGACCAGCTCTTTGAAAGGAGCGTTAAGCACAGTTGACCTCTGCTTTGATACCAAGCTTACTACTGCTCACTCGCTAAAGCAATTTCTCCAATAAGACAGGATCCCAAACATAGCAAAGAGATTCTGTGAACTCTCCCAGCTGCTTGTTGAGACTTGTGGACACTGAACTTTAGGTACTGGAACTGGGGCAACTGCAGCTAGTCCTGTCTTAATGGCAGAGCTTCATTTAGGTCGTCCAAGAACAACGGACCCCTATGGACTACAGCCTACACGCCCAGGCTGACTCCTGGAGCTTCTGGGCTGTGTTGAATAAGAGGAAAATCACAACTGTTCAGCTGGCATCAGGATGTCTATGCTCAGTCACTCCTCCCATTGTTTGTATCCCAGCCCAGCCTTTCAGGCAATGGTGGAGAAAAATGGCTGTCATCATCCTGGGCCAGAGAATTGGCTGCATAGAAAAGACTTTCCACAGACAAATCCAATTACTTGGCAGCTCCCACAAGCCCCACAGCAAAGGGGACTGTCTTCCAGGTCGTCTCAAATCCACAGGTCTCCATCCTGGCTGCACAGCCTACAGAGGCCAGCTGACTGTTGAGGTCAGGGCTGTATTGAGTTCCTGTCTGACTGAGATAGTTTACAATGGAGGCAGAAGTTGGAAGGTTTTTAAACACACCTATATGACATTCTCAGGCCCTGGTCACTTCCTGCAGTAACCTGGTTGGTTTGGTAAGAAAACCACCATGTCATGTTCTAGGTAGCTATAAAACAGTACAGCAGAATAAAACAGAGTCTGAGTAGGCCACCAGTTCAGCCAAGTAAAGCCAAATGCCTTTTGTTGACTGGTCAGTCTTTCAAAAAGAAGTATTTAGTAGAACAGGAAAAAAGGTTAAAAAAAAAAAAGAGGACAGTTTATAAATGACTTGTATGTAAAATATGATCTAAGTTGCTGTGAATACCTCATGGACTCACCCGAAGGAAGAAAGGGAACTTCCTGCCATAGAAGCCGACCCGGAAGAACTCAGGCTCCAGGCGCTGCTGCTCCATGATGCTGTCATAGTAGCTGGCTTCCATTTTCTGTGAGTGAGAAAGACAGTTGCCTTCAGGTTGGCCTGACTGTTAGTGGTGACCAAAGCAAGTCATCCCAGGCCCAAGCAGGCACTGTCTTTTGTTAAGGGAACATAACCACTCACAAGTCTAGATAAGAAAGTGAGCCCCTAGCCATGATCAGCCTCTCCCTAGAGAGCTGCAAGATGGAAGAGGAAGCCCGCCCCCTCCCTCTTCCTCCATCGTCATCTGATGGCGGGGTGGGGACAGGCCTGGCCCCTGCAGCCCTGAGAGGCTGCTCTGTGTGTCATTCTCAGTGGGTGGACCCAGCTTCACAGAGACCCAGGCTTCCCGCATTTCAAGAGCACACGTTTAACATGTGTGTTTAACAACTCCCCGGCTCCCCCCACCCCTCCCGCCCTGGGGATTTTTGGTTTTGACTGACACTCGCTACACCAAATGACCCCAGGCTAGTCAGGTGGTGTAGTGTCAGTCAATTACTGATCAGGTTCGGGAAACACAGCAGAGCTAGCCACACTGACAAGAGTGCCGGCTGAGTGAGCCGAGGCTGCTGACCTCTCTTTGCCAATGAACTCAGAAGCTATTATGACTCAGAACCCAGCGCTGGCAACCAGGAAAAATTTGGTGGAGACCTTCAAAGTCCATGGGGCACTTTACTTAATTTTTAAATATTCTGCTTCAGTGAAGGGAATAAGAATAAGGTGCTTGAAAGAGACCACAAGTTAAAGCAGGGAAAGGTCTTATGAAGTTTTCAGATGGTACATTCCTGAACAAAATCATTTCAGGAGAAGCTTCTTCGTGAAGTCGAGCTGCCACCTCCGCCTTGAAACCCCCATCCTATCCTGCATATGCTGCTTCTCTCTTCCCTGAGCATCGGTGACCCTTGGTGTCTGGATCATATGATTATTGTCAAGTGTGTGTTTTGGTTCCCCAACCAAACTGCAGGAGTCTCGAAGGCAAGAACCTTGGCCCCTGCCCCTGCTGTCATGTCCACAGCACTACACCAAGGGCTGGGCCCTGCACGCTCCCTCAGAGGCCCCTGGCGCCTCCAGGCAGGGTTGGGGCGGGGGGAGGGGGAAGCTCACCCGAATCCAGCTGAGGCTCTGATAATCGTAGAGACTTTCATATTGACAGGCCAGCTCCCTGCACAGCGGGATCCCAAACTCCCAGCTCTGTGTCAGAAACAGGAACAAGGCATCAGCACCTCAGGCATTCTCGGAATAGCCCAAGCCCACATCAAATACATCAGAGGGCACAACCAAAGGCCTTCTGCAACTCACAGGTCACAAAAAACAAATGCTCAAAATCAGTTTATAGAGCACATGCACAGCACTTTGGTTTTCTAGCTCAGGGCACAGCTTTCAGGTTTCTACTCCAATGTCTCTACCTTCAAGAGTCCTTGTCCTGGCTACCTTGTCAAAGACAGGCACTTCCCATCCATTCTGTCTCATTACTCTGACGTTATCTAATTTAAAAACAGTACTTACATTTTTGTTGCATTCGTCTCAATTAGATGATAAACTGCATGAGAGCAGGAACCACGTTTATTAACTATCTTCAGAGGCTAGAGCAGTGCCAGGTATGAGTAGATACTCATAAAGATTTATTTAATGAGTTAATAAGGAAATAATGACTTTTAAATGAAGATCACTTAAGCTCAGAAACAAGTGTGGAAACCAAACAGGAAGTGGCACCCAAGGACTTGGTAGTAGGCCTGACGATTTCCTTTACAGAAATTTCCAAATCTTAAAGTAGGCTTCACATGATCCTGTCTAGTCAGGTCCCAGGCTGTTTCTGTGGAGTGGCCCCTGTTCTGGTGACAGGCCCATCTAACAGGTGCCTGAGGAGGGCCGCACTAAGGGGCAATACTGTCCATCTCTTCTTGTTAATATAGTGCTTTCTCTCGTGCTTAGACTGGGAATCATTGGTTTCTTTGATATTTTAGTCAAGCTCTTTCCCCCAACTTGTAAATACTAATTAAAAATTTTATATTATAGGAAACTTGAAACATATGGAAAAATAGAAGGATGAACCCTGAGGTACTCATCAATCAGCCTCAACAATGACCAACTCGTGGCCAGACTTGTGTCATTCATACCCATCCACTGACTCCTCCCCATAGTTTTTGAAGCAAATCTTAGACATCATATAATTTTACCCATAAATATTTCAGTATGAATGCTAAACAGTAAGGACTTTATTTTTGCAAAATACTATTTAAAACAGCATCAGGGAGAAGGATAACAATTATTTCATTTGGGACTGAGTTTCTCAAAAATAGCATATTATTTCTATCCTTTGAAGTGATTAACATCATATGGATTGAAACTGCAGGACCAATTAAAAAGATTCAAACATACCAAAGAGAATTTTAAATAGACCTTGACTCCCTGCCCCAATACAGTGCCTCTGTCTCAGGGAGCTAGAAAGCCTCTTGCACCCCTATACCAGCTTTCAAGGGGGCAGATCAGTCCTCTCCCTGGCTCCAAGTGCTGCTTGGGCAGGTTTCAGCCAAGGGCCCACGACAGGGTCTGCCTGGCAGGCAGCTGGCTAAGCAGCTGAGCTGTGTGCAGACTCCTGGCCCGCCTACCAAGAGCTCCCCACGGGGAACTGCTCATTTAGGTGATGAGGGCCCCATGTGGGGCTAACGGAGCTCTGCCTGCTGATAGCAGCTCCCAGCAAAGCAGGTCTTGTCCCCTTTGGGATAAATGCTCATCTGCCTTGCTGGCATCTCTGCCCTAATTTGCAGTCCTGCTACTCCAAGCCCTCCCTTAGCCCCAATTAGCTTTAGAGTGAGCCAGGACCAAGAGTTTTAAGACACTCCACCAGCCTTGAGGGCTGTGCTGGGAAACTGGTGGGCCTGGGGGCTTTGAGCGCTGCCTCTAGACACAGGTAGGAAATGTGCTGCAGGTACAAAGTGTCCACATCTTTCCTCTCGGTTTCCTTCCCCCAGGCAGGCGGCAAAGCAGCTCTAAAACTCCTTAACAGTGTTGAAATCCAACCACTTCTATCAGCTCTGGCAGCTTACACATCCTTGTTACCCACCCGACAGTGATGGCACAGAAGTTGCACTGACTTAGGGCTCACTCTAATCAAATTGGAAAAGTAGGCAAATCCGGGGACTGTCAGTCTTTGTACCTCTGTTTACACACCACACATTAGAAGCAACAGGCTCATCATTCTGTCAGAGGAGTGTGGGCAATAGCAACCCTCAGGCAGGAGAGCCAAGCTCACCCCCAGAGGCTGGTCTAGTCCTGACCGTCTGTACGCCAGATGAACGGGGCCAGAGGCCTCAGTCCGGCTTCCTGCCTGTCTGCTGCCTCTGCCCTGTGACAGAGGACCAGCTCCCACCTGCACACCACCCTGCCTTCGTTTAACCCCTCTGCCCCACGCTGCTCCTTTGGAGCGTCCCTCTCTCTTTCTCTGGCCTGGGAGCACTGACCCTCTGCGGCCTAGAGCCCAGTTCACCTTGGAGCAGGTGCCTAGGTTCATCACCTCACCACTGGAGAGAATGGCCGAGGGCTAGGCTATGGCCATGAGGTGAACTTCTGACTCAGTCCTTCTGGGCACTCAGGAAATAAACATGGGAGCAAAGGAAATTAGGTTGTTGGTCTAAGGCTGGAAGTATGTGAACGAAAATTCAGGAGGGCCTGGCTTGTGAGGCAGGGTGTGCTGGTGCTCCGGGGGGCTAGAACCCCTTTACCTGCTCCTTCCCTGGAGTCTTCTCCTTTTCCTGCCCACTCCTGATGCTAAAGCAGTTTTTCTTCTGGTGCCTAGAATCCTATAGGAGCACTTTTCTTGTAACAGCCAGGTTTTGCTTTCCTGGAGCTATTTATATAAAAAAAAAACCCCGCTGAAGACTTTCACGGGAAACTGGTTAGCCCTACCTGCTGGTTCCATCAGGTTCTGAGGCACAGAAACAGAGAAGATGGACCTCTGATTGAGCCCAAAAGAATGCACCTGATAAATGCCCCTTTGGATGAGCTCATGAAGGTGCTCACCAAGGGCTCTGTACTCAGCACGGAACCTGCTCCTCCAGCAATCACAGCCCAGGCAGGGTTGCTAGGAGTGGGAGATCCCCGAGAAGGTGGCCTATGGAACCTCCCAGTTCTTTTCCGCTTCCTGCTCATCCCCACACTCATGCAGGTTTTACATTTCTTTCCCTTGTCCATGCTAAGCTTTCCACCTACTTTTGTAAACACTACTGGAGTGCGGGGTGAGGGGGGTGGGGAAGGGGCATTGATGCTCTCACATCCCACCACTAGGCTCAATCGGATTAGCGTAACTCTCAATCTGCACTCTGCCCATGGAAAGAAAAGAGAAGGAATATACTGAAAGCACCCATGCCTACTTACACCATGCTCATGCCACTTCCTCTGAACTGGTAGGGCTTGCTAGGCATGTGGTAAGTGGCAGCTCTCGGTGGGCTGTGAGCCAGGAAGACAGGCCTAAAAGTGTGCTGCCCTGGACCAGCGAGGAGTGGAGGCTTTGGGCTGGCACTGTGGACCAGTTGGGCGTTGCTGGCTGAGCCCCGAGCATGGGCCTCCTTTCTGGGCTAGGTTACAGGGGACCTCCTGAGGTTTGGTAAAGGTTCTTGCTTACCAGTGCATCCCCTGCATGGGTGAATGTTTTTGACAAACACAGAAGTCTCCTATGTTACGTAAAACCAATAAATGTTTTCTGATTTATGGTCAAAAGTCATTAATGTTTAAATCTTTCTTTTTTATGATGAAAAACTCATTAAAAAAACACCAATTTCCATTCAAGTTAGGGGCTCGGCCACTATAGTTCAGTGAATGACCTTATTTCAGCTTTTAAAACATACTCAAAGGAATAGCTTCAACTTTTGCGTATCCGGCCTTTCCAGTGTGTGGGCCGTGAGCAAACGTGGTGGTCTGAGAGCCCACAGGAGCTCTCCAAGAGATGCGAACAGGCCAGCCAGGAAGCCCCAAGGAAGCTGGAACCAACGCTGACAATGCCTGCCAATCCCACAGCATCGAGTCTGACGCAGAATAACCCCAACGAGAGAAGCCTAGGCTGTGCTCTGAGGAAGAGAGATCTAAGGCAAGAAATGGACCAGGAGAAGGCAGTACTGGACGCCTCACTCTTACAGCTCATTTGGTACGGCAGATTAGGGTGCCACACCACTTCTTTGAGTAAGTCTAGTAAATAGAAGCAGGGGCCCAGAGTCCTGCTCTAGAAGCCCTGGTGCTTACAGAATGCAAAGCTGGTGTGTGGAGCTGCATTACACCCCCTACCTGGAACTGGTTTTCAAGCTACGGAATTTAGCTGGCTTTTTCTCTCCCCAGAGAAACTCATGCTGCCTCCAAACCTGCTGCACACATGGGCATCCACCCACTCACCACCAAACACACCACCCTCCGCAGCTGCTGCCATGCCTACAACGTCGAGATGCCACGCGTCGCAGCAGAAGCTGGGCTGGAGGCTTGCCTAGTGACCCTACCTTGCCTTTGTTGAAGTAGTGGATGACCTTGCGGCACAGCCCCTCTTTCCGCTGCCACTCTGTCTGAGACGGGTAGTGGAGGAATTCCCGGAGGGGCCGCTCTTCCCACTGCAGCAGCTCACAGTAGAGGAGCAGAGTGAATGCAGCCTCTGTGGGGACAAGCAATACGGAGGTCCGGGGGACTGGGCTGAGCAGCGAACATGCCAGGGCAAGGCACGTGCACCCTGGTCAGGGCCACTGGATGCCGAAGGTGAGCTAGAGGGGCTGCCCAGTCAGCCAATAACCCTTGACCACAGCATGAAGGAGGCAAAGATGCTGGCAGACACCTTCCTCCCATGGCCTGGTCGCCTGTTCTGGGCTCCAGATAAAGTATGGCCCAGTTACCTGAGTTTGTGCACAGGTTGCCTTCCTTTGGGAGACAGGGACATGTCAGAGAGGGCTCTTGGGTTCTTTTTTGCTCAATGACTAGAGCTTCTTTTCCAAGCTAATCAGAACTGGCTCTGAGGAGAGGGCACTGACCAAGGCCTCTCTCTGCCCCCCCCCTAAGCCAGCCTCAGTGTCCCAGCTCCATGTTCTGATCTCAGCACGGCCTTGGGAGTGATGCTGTCTCCTCAGGTCTGCTATTTCTAAAAGGACCAGAGAGAAGGAGCGTGCATGGTGGGAACTGTGTGACGGGCCTGGGGCCAGAAGCTCCAGTCCTGGAGGAGCCTAAGTTGATGCTGGACGAAGGGCAGAGGCCCAGTGCCACCTTCCCCTACGCATGGAGCAGTTAGAGAGGGTTACAATAGAGCAGCAGCAGCTACATCCTGTGGCTCCCTAAATCCCAGGGAACGAGTCACACTGAATTACAGCTGCTGCTCAGGGTCCTTGCCACATCCAGGCTCTTTCCTGTTTCATTTGCTGGGTTTTAGTGGGCATCTCCGACTGGAAAATTAATTAGTTCCAGCTTCTGCCTGGCCTTTGAGTTCCTACTCAAGTCTGGTCCCCATGACTGGGAAGAACCTCATTTCTGATGATTTCGTGACCCACTTTCGGCCAGGCCCACTTGCCTGCAGAGATGCTCCAGGTGCCTCCTCATCCTTGCCTCTCTGCCTGTCCTCTGGCCCCTGGACCCTCCTGCCCAGAGGTGCCTCCTCACTGGATCCGGGGAGCCCTTTCTCTCTGGGGACGAGCCCCTGAGGCACTCAAGGCCTGCCTTTGGAGCTTAGGAAACAATATATCCTTTTCAGATGTCATTCCTGAGGCCACAGAAATAGGCTCAGAACCGTCTTGCTGTCCAAACCCTTGACCTCTCAGTCATGGCCCTGCCCTCCAGGAGTTTAGTAAACGCCGCCACTGACACACAAAATTTAGCACCTCGCTGCCCTCTTACTGGGTTGCTGGGATCATGGGTGGAAGTAGACGCAAAGAATGGCAGATTCATCCAGTTTATCAGATTTAATTCTTGCCAAGCTATGTTGTCAGAAAAGGTGGCATCTATGCCAAACACTCTCTAACATCTAGAGATAAGGAAACAGGTTCTATTTCTATAAATCCATCTAATTCTAGTAATGTTGATGAATAAGAATAACTTGAACTTCCTGATCTTTCACACAAGTTTCAGTCTTACGGCCCAAGAGCTAAGATATACTTGCTGGTTATCACAGTGAGAAGGTGGCTCTTGGGGGGAACTATGATACGAGGTGATCAGGCAGGACACATGCACGCACATGCCCTCCTGACTCAGAGGAGTCAGTGTGTGACAGACACGTTGAAATGCTTTCAAACTTGTTCTGTGAGTAAAGGCCTTAAGGATGGATTAAATTGTAGACACAATGGAAAGGCCTGCCAGATGCTCACTCTCCATACTGTCTATCGGGAGTTCACTGTGGGGCTGCTGTGTAGTTCGGGGCAAGAGCCTAGGCTGCTGGGCAGGTCTGCCAGTGAGTTCTAGAGGTCACAAGGTTAGGCAGATGGTCCTGTGTTATGGCCTCACTCAGGTCCAGCTGAGAAGGTCCTAAGAAAGGCTCTGCTCATGAGGAGCGACTGAGCTCAGGGTACTCTGAACCTGGCACAGGAGAATTTGGAGGCCTTGGAGGAGGTGGCTGGGAGGCAAGGAGAGTGGAACAGCTTCAGGCAGCAGAGAAATGGCATGAAGGCACAAGTGGAAATTGCACCTGCTTTCTCTCCACCACATATTACAAAGGAGCTGAGGGAAAGGAGTGAGGTGAGGTGGCAGCCAGGTCCTGACACTGCTAAGATCTGGCAGGCACCAATCCAGGGCCTTTCTCTGCTAGCTGCACATATCTGTCCAGCCTGTCCTCACGGGGAGGCATGGCTCTCACTCTCGCACTCACCTGTGTAGTTTTCGGCTTGCAAGTGCATGTCACAAAGCTTATGGATGTAGCGAATATACATCTCTTCCTTGTTAATCTCCGATTTGTAAAAGTTCTGTAAGACAGAGGAAATACACATAAAGATGGGAGAGGCTGCCACCCATGAAGACTGTACCTGAGCTCCAGGCAGCTGGCCAGAGCCCTCGGTGTGTGGGAAGGAGTGGGAGGGCAGGCCCTGGAGGCAGCCAACACCAGAAAGAGAAAAGATGAGCTAGACGGCACGCCTGCTGGGGGGTGGGGGGTGGGGTGGAGCCACTGGCAGGTCTGCAGGAGCCCTGACTAGTGAGAAAGAGAAAGGGTGCCAGTGTAGACTGGGGGTCAGGGCAGGTCAGGGCTGGGACCTGGCCAGGACGCCTGGCCAGAGCTCTGTCCAGAGAGGAGCTCGTTTCATTCTCTTCCCAATGTGATTGGAGAGTGCAGATCTCCACAATGCCAGTAGCGGAGCTGACGCCCTGACTCAGTCTTAGGCTGACAGCCATGTGCTGTGGGAGGCCGAGCCCATCCCAGTGCAGGACAGAGACCGACCTACTCGGAAGCAGGGGAAGAGCCCATGCTGTCTCACCATCAGGTTAGCGGTGCAGCCGATCTTCTTGTTCTCCGTCTCCTCTCCTTTCATGCAGTCCCTGGAGGGGAAAGCACACATGAGTGTCCCCGGCTCCAAGCGGGCTCTCTGGGACAATGCACAGAACTGTCGTGTTACTGACCAAACCCCATCCCGGGACACTCTCCAACAGGAGCTGCTTCCACAGAGGATGGCTGCGAGCAACCTCTGAACTTCGGGCCCACCCCGAGGGCTCAAAGATCTCTGTTCAACTGAAGCCCTTGTTTGATGGCACAGTGTGGAGCCCAGATGCTACATCAGGGCATTAAGTGACACCTAGCAATGTCCTCAGCACAGAAGAGCGTGTCAGAAAAGTAGAAGGCAGAATCCTCAGGTTCCCCAAAGGGAAGGCATTGGGCTTTCCGTGAAGGGCCAGTTTCATTGTGTAGGACAGTGCTGACCAGAAGCCAAGCTGCTTCCTCCCGGGACCTAGCTTCACGCTCCAGGCCTCTGCGGTCAGCCAGCACAGCATGCTGCCACGTTTACCATCTCACTGGCTTTTCTCTCTCTAGTCTCCTTCCTGTGCACTAGTCCTTGGATCCCCCTACCTGGACTTAGAGGTAGCCTCAGCCAGGGCTGAGCTGCATTCATGCTGACAGGGCTGGCCTGTGAGACTCAGAACAATGGGAACACTGAATACGGATCCTTCTCAGGGGAGGGGAGAGCTGCTCAAAGCCGAGCTCCTGTGGGAAGGAGCAGAGGCCTGGCACAGGAGATGAAGGAGAATGAGAACCAGACTGGTGACACCAGCAAGAAGCCTGCTGTACACACAGCCAGCCAGAGGCCCATCTGCCCGCTGTGTCTCCTTCTGTGGTCCCCCGCTTTGCCCTGGAAAAGACTTCCTTCTGCTGCTGTGTTAGCAGCTGTGGGGAAAGGCTGTGTAAGAGAATTTCTGGACCCCTAGGGTCAGGTGAGAGTGTGGCCTGTCTGTGCTCCACAGACAGGCACAGGGTCCAGTGAGGAATGGGGGTCAAGAGCCCTAGTCCAAGTCACAGCCTATGGATGGTCATTTGACAAACTCAGTTATCCCCACCTTCCTCGTTGCATTTAAGATCGAAAAGATGACTTCTTTGGGGTGACTTCTTTGAAAGCAAGGGATCCTGAAAATCTACACCACTCCATGGCATCCTGTAAAGCTGGGTCCTTCCTCCTACAGGGGGCTACTGTCAGAGCTGGTGGCTCTGTAGGGTTTGGAACCAAGGCCCTCCTTTCTAGGTTTTCCCTATCAGCACATTCACCCATAAGGCATTTGGTTCCTTTGTGCCAGACATGGGGTCCTGAACATGCCACTGCAGCACCTGTCCTTTAGTGCAAGAGGAACAGGAAAATGCTGTGACTTTTCATCTTGTTCCAAGCAACCAACAAGGTGGCAGGAGGCATCTGTCTCTCCAATAAGTTGCCCTCATGGAGGACAGTGAGACCTCACCTAGCTACTTTGGCCTTTAGTGGTTTGCCTTTTCTAGAAAGCACCTGAAACATGAAAGATGACAGGTGTCATCTTCTGTTTGGCCATGACTAGAACTTCACAGCCAAGTCAAACAGAAAAGCAACGGCCTCCACACCAATGCCAGAGATCCCTATACACCTTTGTGCTCCAGGACTGCCTCTTCTAGTCACTGCAGCCTCTTCTCTTCTGTGGGGCTTTGCATCACTTCTGGGTGGCTACTAAACAGAGAAGACACCTTTTAAAGCCTCTGACTTGGGAGCAGCCATTGCTTACTCTTTCACTCTTTCTGTGGAGGATGAGTGGAGAAGGCCCTCCTGAAGCCTGTGGTGTGGCTGTGGCATGGCTGTCTCAGACCAGTGGCTGGGCAGCCCTCAGTGAGAGCAGAGGGGCCTGGGAAGGCTCTATAACCTCCAGTTGCCCCTTCTAGCTGGAGGTTCCACTTAGAGCTCTAGGGGCTTGGCAACCCTAGCTCTGTTCCATGGCACTAAGAAAACCCTCCTAGGGCTTTGCTTTCTAACCTGGGAAACACAGTTGGCTACCAATGAGCATTTTTATATCTGAAACACAATATCTGAGATTCATGCAGAAGTTGAAGACTTTAACACAAAACTTGAAGAGGAACTCTGTTAAGTGCCTAAGGTTTCATGCCAGTCTCACACTGTAGTTAAGGTCATTCTGGAATACGATGTATTGGTTGTTTGTATAATCAATGTATATATATTTTTAGCTTTCAACAACTATTTTCTTAGTAACTTCTTGTTGAACGAAACTTCACTGGGGTAGAAGAAGAGACTTCCTTGGTTTCTGCATGGTTTTCCAGTAAGTTTATCTAATTGATCAATATTTACTAAACTCCTGCCAGGGGACTATCAAGGCTCCACGTAGGGGACCAGGGAGATAAGGGCAAGGTCCCTGTCCTTAAGGAGCTGGCTCTCTTTTGTTGGATGAGTCAGAAAGGTGACAAATGATCATCATCTAAGATGACTCATTCTCTGAAAGCAGTGTTCAGAGACAGCCAGCTCAGCTCCTGTCTGGGAAAGCTTCCTTGATGGGAGTAGGTTGGAAAGCTAACTCTTGGGAAGGCACACATATAGAAGCCAGAAGGGAAGGATATGAGTGGTGATAACATGGGTGAGGAGAGAGGGTATGGCTCTAAAGTCAGATCTGGGTTAAAGTCCTGCCAATGGCACTTCCTACCGATGGAGTTTCTCCATTGGTAAAAATAAGGATCACCTTTCAGGGATGCAAATGAGATTAGAGACAATGTCTGTGAAGCACAAGGCGCATGGTATATTTTTAATAAATGGGAGCCATCATAAGCATCATGGGGGTTCCTTTTATGCTAACAAGGAGCAACACTGGGAGGTTGGGGTACAGGCATGGGGACTGGCAGGAGACAGGGCCAGAGAGGTGGGCAAAGGTCAGTTTATGAAGGGCCTTTGATGGCATGTGAGAGTCTGAACTTTGTCTGAGACAAGCAATGGATAAGAATCAAATTGGTTTGGCCTTGAGTTTTGAGTTACTTGTGCAAGGTAGGTAGAGAGATCAAGCAGGTAGCTAGAAGTAGGACTGGGAATCTAAGACGTTAATTCCTGCTCTTTCTGGTAGGCCCCAGTGAAGAGGGCCAACCTTTAGTAAATGTTGCAGTGAGGAAGAGGTACAGAGTTTCGCCCACCATCTGATGGCAGGGGCAGGAGAGACTAGGGATATGGTGTGAGCAAAGGAGCCCCCTGTTCTAAAAGGGGCTCCCAAAAGGCCACCTGTGACCTCATAAGGCCCAGGAAAACGGGCTGAAGCTCACACAAGCACAATTGGGCAACAGGAAGAGGGGGTGCTCAAGATGCAAGCACGTTTCTCAGGAATTCCATTTCCATATCTAGGCCATTGCACTGAACACCCGAGTCTTCTGCACAGCAGGTGTTGGCACAGCAGCACCCTTTACTCAGCAGCAACTGGAAGTGGCCTAAACTCCCTCGCATTTCCTGATCCTTGGGGTTGAAAATGCTTACCCTTGGTGTTTCCAGGTCTTGTAGCACAGAGGAGACAACCACTGCTTGGGTCTGGGTTTCCTCTATCATTCCTCCTCATTCCTTATTACCTTCCTCTAGGCTCCAAAAGGCACTCTTAGTCACCACCCACACTCTGCTGAGAGAATAACTATGGCGGCAGTGATAGCTTCATTGTCACTTTTGGACAAATTCAAAAGCCATAAAATGACTGAGAAGGCAGACTTTCATGAAAAAACTAATTTCACATTAACTCTCAGACTGACTGTACCATAAAGATCTCTGAGCTCACAGTCGGCTTCCTCTAATCTGCTCATGGCCAGGACTAAGGGACAGAAATAAAAAGACTTTGGGCAAAGAATGGAGGCATGGAAAAGTGGGGTCCCTATACCATGCAAAAGCCAACTGAAAGTCCTGGGTCACATGTCTGTCCCAGGCAACACTTCCCTGTCCACCTGCCTATGGCTCTGAGGAAGGGCTATACTAAGGACCTACATTGTTCTCTGCCTTGCTCTGGAGACAGCTTTTCTCTCCCCCTCTGCTGTGCCCATTCCTCTGAGCCTTGACCTTTCTAGATGGAAAGCCAGATGGCTACATATTCTGGGATGTCTCCTAGGAACATGTGCCCACATATCAGGAGGGATCCCAAGAAGCTCTAGCTTTCTCTCGCTGTCTTTCTCTTTCTCTCTCTCTCTCTCACTCTCACTCTCACTCTCGCTTTCTCATTCCTTGGCCATCAGTAAATTCTTAATGACTAGTAATGGCACCCAACACCAGAACTGTCCTCCCCCTGAAGGACACGTGGTCTCAACTTTAAGGTCAAGGATGCCCTTGCTGGGGAGAGTATCCTGACCAGAGAAGAGGCGAGGTAGGTGCCTGAGAAGATACCTGTAGTCAAGAAGGCGTTCCATGAGGCGGGTGACTGAGGTCACAAAGGAAATGCCGGTCTCGCGCCACGTTTCCTGTTCAACCTTCTCCAGCAGGCTATTGGTGGGAGAGCAAACACAATACACAATGCATGAGCTTTCCCAGCACAAGAGTGAGGTCCCAGAGCCCGCGGGGCCTGTGATGGATCTGGAGACGGCAGACTTACCACACTGCAGTCTTACCTGGGGTAGGGCCCAAACAGCTGGGTTCTACTCCATGCAGCAGAAAGCAAAGACAAGGCAATTACTGAACTGGCAGCACAAATGAGCATATCTTCTATTTTCCTGTACAAGAATTCCACTGAACTGAGGAGAGTTTCAAAGCCCCTTTAGGTGTACACCATGAGGTCTGTTCTGAAGCAACAGCCGAGTAAGAGCCCACTAAAGGCTGGATCTGGCTTCGCCAACTGGATGACTGCCTCTATCATTGCTAGAGCCATCCTCAGCACACACAAACCAACCTTTTTATGTAAAACAAGGGTACGATTCCCACCAGTCCCAAGGGCCCAGCATGAAGGGATAGTGAGGATAGTGAGCGAATTTAGGAGCTGTACCCAGCCATTTCCACTGCTCTCACACAAAACGTGCCAGAGCCAACAGCTAAATGCTAGGGCCTCTTCTCTCTTCCCATGCTCCTGGTACCTCAGAACAGCCTCTGGATTTTCCAAGAGCCTGGCTTCTGAGATCCTCTGCTTTCCCATAGGTCTCTCCTGAGTCATTTCCACAGTGGCCCTTAGCTCCCTAAGGTCATGAAAGTCACCTGGACTGGCAGGCCCAGCTAGGGGCCCACCAGTGCGAACTTACACCCCAGCCTGGCTGCTGTGATGATGACTATTGCCCTGCACAGAGCATCCAATCTGAGCCACTTCTGGGAAAGTGTTTCCCATGTGATCCATGTCACTACTAGAAAGAGAAGGCAGGACCACTGGCTCTGGCCTCCGAGCCCTGTGGTCACTGTGTCTGCAGGCCCCAAGCTGTGTTCTATAGAGCTCTGCTGTCCGGTGGACAGGGAGAGGCATTCTGTGAGCAAACACGCATGGGAAGAGCTGGTCACTGAACCCTCCTTTCACATGTTTCTGCACATTACAGGCTTTGAGAACTCCTACAACACAGAGGCCTGTTCAATTTTGTGTAACTGAGTCTTTTCTAAACTGATTAGCCCATGATCCACTTATTCTTTTTCTAGAATATCTACAATCACCTTCCCCAAAACTCAAATTGGGAGATGCTGCTCCATGTTATCAGTGGCTTTCAGTTCTCAGACACAATTTGACAAGAGTTTGTGAAACACTCTTTGGTCAGGTAATCAGAAATTGCAAGTTATTTTCGTGTTTCTTCCTTTATAGTAAAGTCATTTGTTCATGGCTTAGGAAGAGATGTCTCTGCCTTACTTCCACAATTAGAAATATCTTCGGCTAAATGAGAAATACTAAGGATGGTTCATTTTCACAAATTATAATAATTTAAATTTCAAATAAATTCGTATTTTACTGTGTGACTCATCAAAAACCCAAGTGGGCATGGTAGAGCACAAAGACCGCCCCTCTTGAAACCAGAAGATCTGGTCCTCCCCCGAGCTGCCTCTTACTGGTCATGCCACTTCTCTGAGCTCAGTTTCATCACTTCCATTCATCAGGATAATATCTGCCCTGCTCACCTCACAGGTGTATTGTAAGGATGAAACAGAAAATGTCAACACATTCTGTACACTGTAAAGTTCTAAGCAAATGTACAGTACTATTGCTGGAAAAATATGTTACAGGCTGTCTTTAATATGACACTTAAGCAAAGACAACCTCAAAGCTAGAAATGAGTGACATGGGAGGGGACTACAGAGCTGTCAATGTCTTCAGATTTTGATTTTAGGAGGACAAAATACCCAACATCACTATATCTGTCTGGGGAGACCATGGCTCTCCTGAGTCCCTCCCTTTGGACTTAGACCTGGGGCAGCCCTGTAAGGTCTCTTGGCCTCCATGAACTCAAGAAGAAGGCACGAATGGTGGACCTGGGAGAAGCCTTGATGTCACTCAGCACAACCACCCTGTTTCACAAACAGGGAAACTGGCCTAGAGAGGGAGCATGACTTGTTCAAGTCACAAAATCCACAGTAGTGTTTTTCAAGCTGATTGTACAATGTTATAAAGCAGGGCCTTAATCGCCCCCTTCCGTTCCAGCATTCAGCTCTCACTGAGTATCCATGAGCTATGTGACCAACTGGATAGAGTACATAGTATGAAGACATATAATATCCTTTTCCTATCAGCAAATGTAGGAGCTCGAGTTATCACTTGTCTCTGCCTCTTCGGTCAACTATAGGAACCCTGACATAGTTTGCTGTCATGATGCCCCTTCTTTATTGACAGGTGAGCACTGTTACCACCAGAACACCCTGGTCTCTCCTGATACCTACCCTCTGAAGCCTGCCCAGCACAGGGTGCACCCTTACCCTTCCTTAGCCCACTTCACCCCTCCCCAGTGTAGGGTGCCTGGGGCTAAAGCAGCTTACAGCAGGCTGAAGAGCTCCCTGTAGCTCTCGTCGCCTTTCCCTTCTGACACCATGCTGTCCAGTTTGTCAATCAGCTCGGCCTCCACCTAGAGGGAAGCAAAGACTTTGTAAACCCAAGCTGACCTCAGAGGAAGGATGGAAATCCAGTCCCTTCCATAGGTAACGATGGTGGGGAACTGCTTTCTGTTTTGTCCTGGCACCAAACAAATCCTACAGGAGGCAGGCTCTCATCTACAGTACCAAGCAACCACCCTGCCGCCCCCAGCCAGGAAGACCTCCCACTCCAGTGGCTTAAAAAAAGAGTTGGAACTTAACAAGTCTCAGATATTCTTTTCCCAGTCTAGGGGCAAAAGGTAAGGACTCCCTGGAGACTAAAGTATTTTGGATCCGAAAGAGGCCTTTGTCAAGTGTTTTTCTTTCTTAAAAAATGTTCATTCGAAAGAATTTGTGTGTATAAAAACCTTTGGCTAGAACTTTACCCTCTAGATGGCCAGTCACAAAGGAAGCTTGCTAGGGAGCTGGTCCTTACTCTGGCTGGCATTAGGCTGGGTTGAGGGAGATGTGTTTCCTTCAGAGAATCTCCTTCCGGATAAAACACTCCATTGTTTGTCCCCACAAGACCTGAGGCCCTTGGGGCTACTGCCCCTGCCACTGCCTCAGCACCAGGCCCTCTGAATTTGTTACTGGATTTCTAAACCTTGAGGAGCAATATTACATTTGTTACCACCACCCCACTTATCCGCAAGGTGTTCAGCAGTGCCCAGCTGCTTCTCTAAGAGGCCTCATCCGACTTATTCTGAGGTGAGAAATCAGTTGTAAGTAACGTGAGACAAAAATCTTTTAAACCCTCATTAGCCTTGGAAATGTGATATTGTGGTATTATTTATATAGACATTTCATATAAACAAAAGATGGCATGGCTGCATTTAATAATGAAGTATAACAGAAGCATTTTCTCACCCCACACTGAGCCAAAGAATCCTAATGCAATGGGGTAATACAAGAGTAACTGAATTAGGAAATTCATTGAAGGCAATTATGGTTTCTGAAATCCCATCAGCAGAAAATGAGATGGTCTGCTGTATGGCCAGGATGGGGACTGTCACACATGTATATCTGGCCTGATGAGTCAGCTGCTTGAATATACATTTCACAGGAAATAAAATCTGAGACCAGGGGTCTTTAGGGATCGATGCCATCCAGCTCTCTCTATGTAAAGAAGAGGCATCAGCAGGGACTCGCTTGGGGTTAGGTAAGGCCAGGTAGAGCTGGGCGTAGGCCAAGGTGTCTCAGTCCTAGTTCAAAGCTCATCTTGTCTCGCTTGGCCAATCCGCTGGCCACAAGTATCCCAAGGGGAGCAGGGTCTGTTTATAACCAGGGGCCTCCCTTCATGCCTGCAGGTACAGGTAGATTGTGCTTCCCAGAACACAGCAAAGGTGGGGAGGGGCTCTGGCGCAGTGCGAGTACAAGAATGCAAACATGGGTAGAGCAGTTCCCTAAAGTTCTCAAAATGGGTCCCTGGGCAGCAGCATCAGTCAGCAGAGATCTTGTTAGAAATGTAAATTCTCAGGCTCCCACTGGATCAGAAACTCAGTAGGAAGGTAGCAATCTGTGTTTTAACAAGTCCTCCAGGTGGTTCTGATGCCCATTCAAGTGTTAGAACTTCTGTTATTAGACAAAGAGGCTGGTGATGGAAGGATATGGGGCCTTTACTTCATCACCCTCTGCAGTGCCGAAAGAGGAAGAAGTTAGAAGAAACTGAGATGCCCAAAACGGGATGCTGAAGATGAATGTATGCAAAAGCAACGTCTCTAAGTCAAATGAAATGCTAAGTTCTTCCACTATATCATCATAATTGGTAATATTGACAATTTCAGGCTTGGGAGTTATTTTTAGTTAGAGAACCAACATTATCCCTGAAGTGGCCACCTCATTATTCATTCATCCAACAGACATATTTCCTGTTACATAACCAGCTTCCTGCTTCTGGACAAAATATTGGGTCATCAGAAAAGTCATGATGTATTTTGTCTATGTTTTTCAAAGGTCATTTATTTATATAAAGAACAAAGATCAATCAATGATTTATTGCCGGTTTAGTTTGATAACCTTTTGCCATCTTTCAGAGCTTTGGAATTCCTCGTTCATAGAAGGACCTGTCTTTATTTGCGAAAAACTGAACAAGGTACTGATTTATAGCCTCATCTGAATTGAACATTATACCATGCACGGAGTTTTGAAGAGAGTGAAACAAGTGGAAGTCTGACAGTGCAAGGTCAGGCGAGTATGGTGGGTGTGGCAACACATCCCATCCAAGCTCCAGTAATTTTTGATGGGTGATCAAACTTGTGCGTGGTCTCGCGTTGTCGTGATGGAACACAATTCCTTTATAATTAACAAGCTCTGGACGTTTCTGGATGATGAATTCGTTCAAGCTGTCCAATTGACGACAGTACACAATTCGAATTGATTGTTTGGTTCCTTGGTAGGAGCACAAAAAAACACGATAGCTTTAAAATCCCACCACTGAGAGCATAACTTTCCTCTGATGAATGTCTGCGTTCGATGTCGTTTGAGGTGAATTATCATGTTGGGACCAAGAATATTTGCACACCACACTGTTGTAAACAATCCACTTCTCATCACCAGTTATCAGTTGCTTCAAAAAAGGGTAATTTTCCTTAGTTTAATGAGCATATTGCAGGTGTTTATACGCGCCGTCAAATGAACGTCTTTGAGTTCATGCAGAACCCAAATATCGAGCTTGGTTACATATCCCAGCTTCTTCAGGTGGTCGTAATGCTTGAATGATGGATGTTCAGTGTTTCTGCAATCATGTTGTGTAACATGGGTTTGCCTCGATCAATGCCTTTATTTTGTCGTCATCAACCTCGGTGGGCCTCCCTGACCAAGGAGTGTTGTTGAGATAAAAATCACCAGCACGAAATTTTGTGAACCATCGCTGGCACTGACATTCTTGTAGAGCATTGTCACCATAAACTTTATGCAACTTTTCACAAGCTTGATGCGCGTTCTTCTCTTTATGGAAGTAAAACAGTAAAATATGGTGAAAATGTACAGTTTGGTCTTCCATTTTCAACTTGTTGTAAAAGCTCCAACACTCAACCAAATCACTCAAAATTTTTTTTAGAATGAAGCTAGAACAGTCAGCTGTCAAATGACATAGCAATAACATAGATGCAAATGACTCTAGTACTTCCAAAAATGAACTAGCGCTATCTGTTGCAAACATGCGCCATGACTTTTCCGATGACCCAATATTTACCTAAGCCCAAGTTTCCTCACTTGTGAGATATTCTGCTTCAGTGTCACTGTGCCCTAGCTCTTGGGAAGTGCTCAATGAATGTTAGTTTTGATTTTCATCTTCATGAACCCACCATGTCTCAGGCACCATGTTGGGTTCTAAGAAATAAAAGCACAAGAAATAGTCCCGGTTCCCAATAGCTCATTATCTGGTAGTGGAGGCAAGGCCACAGCTGACACGGTTCAGCGTGGTCAGTGCTTGGAAGAGGCACACACAGAAAGGGTTGCCTGGGGTCTGGGAAGTCAGTGGACTTTCAAGAGTTTCAAGAAATGGTATAAAAAGTTCTGAAATGTTTTTGCTCTTTGATCCAGCAATTACAGGTGAGAAATTTACCTAAGAAAATAATTAGGAATGTATATGTTTTTTGCAATATTAACAACAAAAATTTGGAATGAGCCTAAGTTTTTAAAACCAGGAACCTGACTAAGCACACTGTGGTCCAGCCATGCAGTGGAGTATCGCAGCCTCTACACTGAGTGTAGTGGAACAGCATTAACTAACATGACGGGATAGTGATGATGGGGTACTACCGAAAAAGGGAGATAGAAACCAATATTTATAATGATTCTAAAAAGGCAACACACACGATTCCACTTTTTAACTTAAAAAAATCTGTATGTATTGGGGAAAAGTCTAAAAAGACATATCTTGAGTCCCTTCCCTACAAGTTACTACTAGTAATAGGATTATGGGTTAAATTTTTTAATTATAGCTTATTTGTATTTTTAATTTTTTTACATTAAATATGTACTGTTTTTATAATTACAAGAAGTATTTTTAGTAGGTGGTAAGAAGTAGGGTAGTAGTTAACAGAGCCAAAGTTATGGAAAACACAATTGGCATCAAGACCAAAAAAATCATTGGATTTTGGTGATTTGAAGGCTATGAGTAACCTTCAAGGGAGCAGTTTCAACACAAGTGGGTGCAAAATATACACTAGACTCAATAGCATATTTCTGGAGGGTGGGGAGTGGAAAGAGTAGACTACTCTCTAAAAATATTTGATGGCAAAGGCAAGAATCAGCAAGGTTTTTGTAACAGAGGACGACAAAGTTGACATGGCTTGCCGGATATCAATTATTCATGACAGTCTATTGGGGGATAGAATACAGCCCATCAGCTGAGTCTTGAAAGGTGTCACAAATGAGCTACCATTTGGTCTTCTACAAGGCTAACCTTTTTCAGTGTTAGTGATGGTAGAATGCAGCCCAGCCCCTCTTCTTATCAGTCTCCGTGACTGATGGTACTGCTCTGCAATGTCCTCTACTTTTTGGTAACTGGGTTCTCTCATCAGGCAACTGCATTTTGCAGGTGTGAAGTTGCAGGTGTGATAACACAGAAAAGCAACAGTTCTTTTCTGTTTGAAGTTATTATTTTTTTTCTGAAGTTCTGAAGGCAGTAGAGCTGCACATTTCAAAAATGGATTCTTATCTTATATACTCTTTACCCATGATAAAGAACATCTATTAAAAAACCTAGAGCTAGCATCATGTTTAACTGCAAAACACTGGATGCCTTCCCCTAAGATTAAGAACAAGGCAAGGATGCCCACTCTCATCACTCTTATTTAACTTCAGACCAAAGGTCCCAGCCAGTGCAATGAGGCAGGAAAAAGAAATAAGAGGCATACAGATTAGAAAGGAAGAAATAAAACTGTCTCTATTTGTAGGTGACAAGGAAAATCCCAAGGAACCTACAAAAAAGATTCTAGAACTAATAAGTGAGTTTAGCAAGGGTGCAGGATAAAATGTTAATATTAAAAAAATACTGTATTTCAATATGTTGGCAACAAACAACGGAAAAACAAAATTTAAAAATGAGAATAATTTATAACAACACTAAAAACCAGGAAGTACTTACATATAAATCTAACAACATGTACAAAATCTGTATGCTGAAATTATAAAACATTAATCAAAGAAATAAAGAGCACCTAAAAAAATAAGAGATATACTATCTTCACGGACTAAGAGTAGTATTATTAAGATGTCAATTGTTCCAAATTTGATTTATAGATTATAATGTAATCCCAATCAAAATCCCAGAAAGAATTTTTGCAAATACTAATGTGCTGATCCTGAAATTTACAGGGAAAGGAATTGGAATAGCTGATACGATACTGAAAATAATAAAACAAAGTTGGAGGGCTGACACCACCTAATTTTAAGACTAACTGTAAAGCTACAATAATCAAGATAGTGTGGTATTGGTGAAAGATCAGACATGCAGATTAATGGAAAGACTAGCGAGTCCATGAAGAGATCCACATCAATTGACTTTTGACAAGGAATAGTCTTTTCAACAAAAGGTGCTGGACATCCATAAGCAAAAAAGAAAAAAAAAGAGCCTTAACCCATACTTGACATCTTTTACAAACATTACCTCAAAATAGATCATAGGTCTAAAAGTAAAATTATGAGGGCCGGCTGAGTGGCTCAGTTGGTTAAGAGCTCGCTCAAGGGTTTGAGCTCTGAGCAACAGCGGTTTGAGTCCGGCCTGAGCTGAGCTGCCGCTGAGCTCAGCTAGAAAAAAAAAAGTGAGGATAAAAGTAAAACTATGAAACTTCTAGAAGAAACATAGGAGAAAAAAAGTTTGTGTCTTGGGTTAGGCAAAGAATTATCAGATATGATCCCCTAATCTGATCCATAGAAAAAAAACACTGATAAACTGGACTGCATAAAATTTTAAAACTTTTGTTCTATGAAAGATATTATTTAGTAAATGCAAAGACAAGCTAAAGACCAGGAGACATATTTGTAAATAACATATTCAATAAAGGACCTATATTATCCAGAATATATAAAGAACCCTCAAAACTCAACAATAAGAAAACAAACAACCCAATTAAAAATGAACACAACTTTTGAATAATCATTTTACCAAAGAAGATGTAATGATGGTAAATGACCAGGTTAAACTTTGCTCAACATCATTAATCATTAGGGAAATGGAAATGAAAACCATAAGGATATGTAACTATGCACCTATCACAATGGCTAAAATAAACAAAGAGATAATATCAAATGCTGGTGAGTAGATGGATCAACAAGAACTCTCATACACTGCTGCTGAGGCTTCAAAACGGGAGAGCCACTTTGGTAAACAATTTGATAGTCTCTTAAAAAGTTAAACATACATTTACAACACCCAACAATCCTATTCTTAGGTATTTACCCAAGAAAAATAAAAGTTCATATTCATACAAAAACCTGTAAAGAAATGTTTTTTAGCAGTTTTATTAATAATCACTAAGAAGTGGAAATATAATAATGTTGTAAATATTTTGTAGGGTGTCAGGTGGTCACATGTCTTGCATCATGGATGGGGAAGAGGCTTGATCACTGCACTGTACACATGAAGCTGATGTTGTATAATATTGTATGTCAACTATAAGTGAATATATATA